CTAATGAGAAGGAAGGACTCCCTGGAGAAGAACCTAATGCTGGGAACAATTGATGGCAAAAGAAGAAGGGGGCAGCAGAGGATGAGGTGGCTAGATGGAGTCACTGAAGCAGTTGGCATGAGCTTAAGTGGACTCTGGGGGATAGTGGAGGACAGGAAGGCCTGGAGAAATGTTGTCCATGGGGTCGCAATGGGTCGGACACGACTTTGTGACTTAACAACAACAACAACATCAAAATTGGACACATTGAGTTCAGGCCAAGGGAACGCTTGGTGAAAGTGACTTTCCTGCTCCCCTGAAACATTTTCCCAAAAAGCCTCTTCCAGGGACCTTCCTGATGGGGTCTTGTGTGACACAGGAGAGAGGGAGGTTGCTGAAAATGGGACAAAGGCATTGTCCATGAGTAGAAGGCCCATGCTACCACTCATCCCATTCAGCAGCATTTCCCAGCCCTAGAGAGAAGCTTTTTAGTGAGACCATATGGTATGCACAGGAAAATCACCTTCTGTGCATCCATTTCTGCATGCATTTCTTTGGATACAATTTCTTGTCTTTCTTTCCCTTGCTAGTTTCATAAATCCCAGTCGCACTATTAATGCTTTTGTATAATCTTCTTACTCTCATAGCATCTTAAATCTGATTTTCCCCTAAAATTGCAGGCAAAGATTTTCTTCACAGTTTTGTGGACTGTACAGTACTGTACAGGTTTTCTAAGAGCCTATAGTATTCATATTCAAGTTGTTCCAGTAATCATGCAATCAAAAGCATCTGTGGGGGGGGGGGAATCCTAGCCAAGATTAATGGTGTCAAATAATCAATATGAGTCTGACTATCAAAGTTAAAACTTTTGACCACTTGGAGATAATTGTAGTCCATATTTCAGCTTAAATAAGTCATCCATGTGATTAAAGCTGTTTGGTACTCCAGTATAATTGTAAGATGTTTGCATTTGCTGTCATTGCTAGTCCTGTAAAACAAAGGCTATAACAATGCTGTAATCTTTCTCCATTCATCTGCAAAAGCCTATGGCAAACCAAGCCTCATAAGCTCCTGTGCACATGCATGCAAGCTAATCACACCATTTTCCTTGTCCCTATTACTATTCTTGCAAACCAGCAGGAGATCAAAACTGACAAGAATCCTGTGTTCCACTTGGGCTCTTTTAAACTGCTAAGTTCCTGCAGCTGGAAAGAATGCTCCTGAAAGCACTGAGGAATTATATGACCTTCATGTAGACTCCTGTCTTTTTTCAAAACTTTATGGTATTTAGGAGCACAGACTTCAGGCTTGAGAGCGCAAAGGAAAATCTGATGCTCCTTAACCCAACTTTTGGTAAATGCCCTTGGCTGAAATTACTGAGTCAGAAATATTTTGCTAAAATCCAGTATAATAAATTTTAAGTACCGCACTCTTTACAAAAGGGACATTAGATGTCCAGAATGCAGTATTCAACTTGAAAAATAAATCAAGTAATTTGAATGTAGCAGAATAGATAATTTGATAAGAGTAATTTCATCCAGTACATTAAATGGGTAATGAGTATTCTCAGCTTGGTTAATATGGCCCTGTTGTGTTGCTGAATAAGAAATTAAGCAGACCACCGCATTTATTTGTTTAGGCTTTTTTTAAAAAAAAGAATATTTCTTTCTTACTGCTTGGCTCCTGGGGTGGCTTGACATGAAAGTCAAGACAATCTCTGCCTGCAGGTTTACAATCTAGTGTCATGCCATACAAGAAAAAAGGGTGGGGAAGGAATAAGACAAAAATTAAGTACTCTTTCAGCAGAGTTAATAGAATGGCCCTGCTTGTTTTCTTGTCTTTTTTTACAGCCTGCTGGAATGGCAGCTGGTGATGGCACAGTTGAGGAAGGAGGAACCTTTAGAGAGGTGGTCTTTCAGCAGGCCTGATGAAATGGCTCCACTTTTCCTCTTATTCCCTTTTGTTACAGCCTGCTGCAGTGATTTAACCTTAATTTGATTTGTATGTCAAGTTCAATTAATTATGCTACTGTAGGATATGGTTTTCAAGTGGTGACAGAGGTGAAAAATATGTTAAAAATAAAAGAAAGTTACAGTACTCATATAACAAAAGATTTATCTTAACAGCACCTTGAGCATTGGAAATACACTTTGCTTTTTTACATATAGACAAAGCAGGACTGTTTATCACACTTAAATCATAACTTCCAGCTTTGCAGTACAGACATCAGTGTGAAATTATTTGCAGAGTATCCTTTAAAAAATGCAGTATTTCCTTTTCTTTCTGTTAGACTTTTTAAAGTTTGCATGTTGATAAATATCTTTTTTGATGATACAAAGAAGACATTGAGCATAATTTCATGTTTTCTAAAGCAACAGAGTCTTACGGCACATTAAAAGTATAACAAATTACTTTGGCATAATAGGAATTGTACTGGAAAAGACCAAGGTTCATCTAGTACAGCATTCTGATGACACAGTGGTCAACCACTGACTGGTGTAAGATTCAGGGCAGATAAAAAGAAGTGCATCTTTGCACAGTGCATAGTTCTGTGGATTCACTTTCTGAAGATGTAGTGATGGCCAACAATTTGGATAGCTTTAAAAAAAGGAATTGGACAAATTCCTGAAGTAGAAGGCAACAATGGCTACTAGTCCTGATGGCAAGTTCTTTTTATAACTTGAATGCCTTCAATGCTGTATAAGTAAAATAGAGTAGATCCATTTTTTCTCTTTAACAGATTTTCTGTGTTAAGGAAAAAAAGATGAAGAAGCGGTAAAAAAGGGTTGGGAGTATCATAAATAAAAGGTGACAATATCTGGAAATCTGCTAAACATCTGTGAATTGGAAAGAGCAGTGGTGCCTTAAAAGCTTCTTCTAGAAGCTCTCTTTATCCAAGGATGTTCTTCTGAAACAGCTTGTGCAACCTCTTGCATGAGAACTGCTATAGAGCCTATGCGTTCTAGAACTCTGTAGAAATTCACAGGACAGTGGTAGTAATGGTTTTCTTTATACCCACAATTCTTTAGATCCAGCTTTCTGTTTCCAGAATTTAATATAGTTTTTCATTCAGTTTGGCTGAATATGGCTGCATGGTATTCAGAGAAAACAATAATTTTTGTGTGCTTAAGTGATAATAATATAACATTGTTATATTAGCAATACGTTTTTCAGAACTATTCAATCTCTCTTTTCCAGGACAAGAACTGAAAAACCGTTCATTGATTGTGCAATGGAAAGTAAGAATAAAGGTGATGGTTCTTCCAGAGAGGGGCTTCTGCTTAGAATAGGTCTCAATGATAACAAAGCTGGAATGCAAGGGCTGGATAAAGAGAAGATCAACAAAACCATAATGGAAGCCTCCAAGGTTTGTTTATAGATGCCTTCACAAATGCTTTAGATACTCTTAGGTATTGTTACACTTACTAAGGGTGCAGGGTTTTTACTGCTATGACTTGATTATTCAGTGCAGAAGGGAAGGTATCCAGAGAGGTGTGCCCGGCATTGACGCTTTACAAGTTTTGGTGTTTGGCAAAACCCTTTTTATTGTCCTAGTATTTTAATTTTTAAAGATGGTTAAATTTATACTGGATTTTATTTATACTGTCACTTGACCCTGTGGACTAACTGGTAAATTATATTTTAATTAACTAATTAACAATTCAATTATATTAAATATTACTTATTATTCACTGTTTATTATTGTTTGTGATTTTGTATTTATCTGGCATTGGGTATCAACCAATGCTTTTGATCAATACCCAATACATTTATATTATGTTATATCATTACTATGTTGTTTTTTTCTGTTTTTTACTGTAAACCATTCAGAGAGACTATGGTTGATTATGAATGGTGTCTAAAAGATTAAATAAATAGATAAGTAATAGTTATTAAGGGTGCATTCCTATGCATATTTAGACAGTGACTGGGAAATGCTGGGAGCTGAAGGACTCATTTCTATGCATAGGATTGTATCCAAAATTCATAAAGTGACTAGTGTGGTTTCTCCAATATCAGAGCTGAAGAGGATCCATGAATTGTGGTTACAAGATGTCTATATTCATGACTCATGTTGTATGACACCATTTCATACTTACTGTTTGGTCCCAGAGTGAAGGTTTTTTAAAAATTCAGCAAGTGTTTCCCCTAGCTGTAGCCACCTAAGGGCCCATACTACTTGAATGTCCTCTGTTGCTCAGGAATGTTGTCTGGCAACATGAAGCTAATATATGTGTGCAACCAGCAGCTTGTTGGGGGAGGGATATCATTCTGGCTCATTCCATACATCAATATACTATTTTACTGCAAATCTAGATCCATTTGTACCCCACAGTCTTATTTAGGTGTTGTGGAAGTCAGCATGTGGCCTGCTATAAGGAGGGTATATTGTAAGGTTTTGCATGACATTCTAAGCCACGGGGTGGTGGGGGGGGAGTTGAATTCTCTTTTGCTTTTTATAACTTAAAAATACTTATATCAACCTACACTGTGCTAAATAAGACTAACAATTTCTTTGGCAGGGTTCTAAATACTATGAGAATGAACTTAAGAAAGATCAACAAGTTAACAAACGAATTGAAAAAATGCTGAAACTAAAAAATAAAATAACAGAGGAACAACTCATGAAAGCACAGTTACAGGTAATAATCTAACTTTGGGAAATATAAAAACTAGAGCTTGTAAAAAAAAAGAGGAAATATTCTTGCAGCATAGCCAACCTCAGTTATATGTAAATTTGATTATTTTGGATTTTATTTTTATAAACATCTATATAGGACAGACCTTTGTACATAAAGACAGTCTTCTTCAGACAGCTCATGATGGTCTCATGCTGTTCAGATAACTTTGACAAAAGTTTACTATTTAAATAAATGAAAGCCAATGTGCTTCATCCTCACTCAATCTTATCAATCTCTTGCATAAACTCCTAGAAGCACACCTTCGGGAGTGCCTCAACTGGTTTTTCTGGGTCTTCTGACCTTCAGTTTAAGCTCCTCAGAAGGTATTGAAGCTATTGTTCTTGAATTTCTTGTACTTAGGGAGTGCGTGCATGGGTGGGGGGGGGGATGTTTAGTGCATACCTTCCCGGATAAACTTGAGTTCCTTAGCTGAATAAAATACTGTAAACATGAGCGATACAGGAGCATAAAATACAGAGTAAATTTCTTTTTCCCTAATTTTATGTATTGTATAATGCTTTCTTTTGAGAGCACATTAAAATGTAAGTAAATATATTGTTACCTGAATAGTGCAAACAGACTAGAGAAATGTGGGAGAGAATTTAGAATGTATGTTTTCTAACTTCAAATGCTAATAAGTTGCTATGATTATATTCAAGATCTTAAACCTATATCTGCATAGATGATTTTTAAATATAGTTTTTTTACTGGCCGAAGGTTTGTGTAGACAATATGCAGTTCCCCAAAACACTGATAGCCAAAGGTCTGTGTGAGGATTCACTGCTTTGTTTCCTGATAGTAGTCTGCACACCAGGATGAAGATGGTGTTGGGGAAGAGCAAGTACTGAACAACTGCTTTTCATGAATTCTATGGTATTCCAGAACACATTTGAATATTAGTATGATAGAAATTATGCAGGTTTTTGCTAGGGCATTATAGAAATTGCAACAAGTTCATCTGTCTTCACACTATAGGCAAGTTCACACAACCCAGAAAATAGACACACAACCCTGAAATGGACTACACATCGTGAGTTGTTTGTGAAACAACCCACAGTCCTCTCAGGAAATGATGGCTTACCATCGAGTTGTCCTCTATTCCTACATCCATCCCAGGGAACTCCATAGCAGAACTCATCTTGTCTCCTCTTCCTGCTGTGCTGTGATCTCTTTTGTGGTTGCTGTAGCCTGTTTTTCTTTTATCCTGCTTTTCTTCTGGTGATTCTTTTTCACAATCTCTGTGAAAATGTCATGAAAGCCAGGAAAAGCCATTTCAAAGTGCCTACTGGCACACTGGATCAGCTATCACTGGTTTGCTACCCAAATTTCAATTTTGTTTTATTTTGACCTGAGATTTGAGCAAATTATTACTTTTTTTCTTTGTTAGATTTTGGAGCTATCCAACTTCCAGTATTTAAAATGTGCAGCTGTGGCTCATCAATGCCCTGGATAGAGTTTGTATAGCTGGCAAATAAAAAGTGAAATTGCAAGGAGATCTCTGCTGGTAAAAAAGAGATGATGTGTAGATTGCCCACCAAATGCTTAGATCTCCATCCTGATAGTTCTCAGTGTCCTCTTTTTTACATCCTTTCTGGAGACTTAGTGCTTTGGAAAGTAGAAGAGCACAAACAATACCATTTGTAGGAGCATGGAGTTTTGGCAGCTGTCAAAACTGGTGCTTTCTTTAAAAATGGGCTAATTTGAGCTTTTTTGTATGGATGTAAGTAGTCATGGCATTTGCATATGTTCCTGTCAATAAATCCCAATCAGCTGGCTGCATGTTGTGGATTGCTATGCAAATACATAATCTTTAATTCTTACCAAGGTAATTTAATCATACCACAAGCCCTGTATGTATATTTCTTATACATACAAATGTGTATTTATTCTCCTGATGCAACAAATAAATTATTTATACTGGTCATTTGAAATCAAATTCATTTGGTTGCTTTAACAAGAGCAACGCAGAGACTTAGGAAGTTGATTGGATGCTGCAATGCAATGTATTCCTCTGTGCAGTCATTTGAATGCATTGAAATGGTGTGGAGAAAATCATGTAGTAGGGTCTAATCTGCTTTTACACTGTTTTCTCTTTCTGTCTGTGTGTATGTTTGTTAAACACTGAAATTTTGGTGAGATTCTCAGGGTGCCAAGAAGAACTGCTCTGTCTTTATACCATTTTGTACATTTTATTTATGCACAGATGGATAAGCTTGCCTTGGAACTTGATCAGAGCCGTGATCTTAGGTATACAATTGTGCACATCGATATGGATGCATTTTATGCAGCTGTAGAAATGAGAGACAATCCTGAATTGAAGGACATACCAATAGCAGTGGGATCATTGAGTATGTTGGTAAGATGGATTTGCTACAAAAAAACAGTTACTTAAGTAATTGTGGAATTTTATTTTGACAAATGTGTATTTTTTTCTACAGGTTACAAAGTACTTTATTTTTTAATATATTTTATTCATTTTAAACAAACAGAAACACAAGCAAAGAACCATCATATCAATTGATCAAGCATTGGATTCTTCTATACAGTTTCATAGATCGCATAGATATCCTAATCTTTAAGTCCATGTCTTCTTTTCTAGCCACCCGTAGAACAAATTCCAAGTCTCAGAATACGTTGACTCTTCTTTATTTTCCATTATTAATTAAATTAATTATTAATTCATCATTAATTAATAAACAAAGTACTTTATTTTGTAAGTTGTGACAAAAGGACATTCAAATCCAAGTTAATTCAGTGTAGACAACTATGTTACATTTATGTTCTGCCTTTCCTCCAGTGAGGTTGAGGTAACAGCCATGATTCCAGGTTTCTCCTCCCTGCTACATTTTTATTCTCACAACAACACCTGAGGTAAGTTAGAGTGAAAGATATATTCCTGTCCCTTACAGGAATTCCTTACAGTAAACTTCTGTAAGAAAAAAATTGCCAACAATTTCCATTTATGAACGCTTCTCAGCATTTGTGCTTCAAGCTATCTTAACACATACTTAACTTTGTCCAATTATAACTTTAATCCTTATGGGGCTCTCTATATTGATTGCTCCAACTTCATGTCTGGAAGATAAACAACATTGAAAAGCTTTTAATGCACAAGAAAATGGCTTGTAGATTTCCACCACAAGAAATAGTTTGGTAAATATCTGGAGAATCAGCTTTAATAATTTTCCCAATGTATCTTAATAATGTACCATAAGTAATTTATGCTGTACTTTCATGGAAGATCGGAATTAGGTTTTCCAGTGATGTTACCTGTCAGAAGCAAGTGGATTCTTCAGATACCCATCAAACTCACATTTGTGATTGCTTCTGACAAGCTTTTGGGAACTCTTTGAAATCACATTATAGTTTATTGATTATGGAAGGGCCACATCTAATAGCATAGCATTGTACAGAATTGTTTCCTATTAATAGCATCTTCAAATGTCTACCCATGCAAAAAATATCCACATATATATTACTGTCAACTTCCATCTAAATTATCTCATGTTGTAATGTTTCAGCTAGGGTTATCATCCCATGGAGGAACAATATCATTCCATATAGTGTACCATTAATTATTGACTTCATCCCATTGATGCCAATGATTCTACAAAATTTCTACAAAATTATCATTAATTTTGCTTCCATGAAAGTATGCATCTGTATGGTGTTGAAAAACCTTGACTATGTGAAAATTATTTGTGATAAGAATTGGGTCATCAAACTTGTTTGGATTCCCTGAAACACTATCAACAACAATGTTAAACAAATGCTAATTGTAGAAGAAGGGGAAGTGCAGATGTTCCACAGTGAAAAACACAGAAGAAGTTGTGTATAACTAGATATATTGCTGGTTTTCTGACAGGGTGATAAATATGTGGGAGGAAACCATAATTGTATTTCCATAATTGAGGAAACCAAACCAAACTGTATGTGAAATTACAGCTCAGCATTTTGCTCTTGAGGGTACAAGGACATCTCAGTCTTCAAAACTGAAACTTTCCTTGACTAGAACCAACAAAAACTCATCCTTTGCCTTCATTGCATATTTTAGAAAAAGTAAATGATCCTTTGTCTTGAAATTTGGAAATACATTGGCATGCTATAAGCTTAAGAAATGGTTTGATCCATTGACATGATCATTCTAATACCTACCTACAGGCTTGGCTTGGAAGAATGAATGATGCAGGCTACACCTGTGTCACCTATATGGCTAGACCTTGCAAAGCAAAAGATTGCATTGTAATTTAGTTTAAAAAAATTTGGACTTCCTTCAAGGATAAAGGCAGCATATCTATGCATTACTTAATTTCATATCTGAAAGTGATTTAGGAGTACATACTTTTCCTTTCTTATGGTGTGCTGCAAATCTAGCACTCAATTGTGTAGATGTTAGGGAATCAGACTGAAAAAATACTAAATGCTTAATTTGATAATATATTTTGTAAACTTCAGCAAATTTACTCGATGCAGTTTTGGGATGTTAAAAACCCTTTGACATAAATAAATGGAGGATGGAGTGCTATGCTTCATCAAATAGTGTTAGAGGCTAGCCAGTGGTAATTGTTCTGAACTGTCCAGAGAGCTTTGACTATTGGGCAGTATAGAAATAAAATTACTAATAATATTTTGGAAAATAGCTTCCAGAGACTTGCACCAGTCTGCTCATGATCTTAATTATTCCATAGAATGTCCAAATGGACATCACCATCAGTAATGGAATTACTTTCCTTCAGAAGTGTTTTATAAGGACTGTGTTTTATAGTGGCTGGTACGAGGTCACCATTGGACTCCAAGCTGAGTAGGGATTTCTGCCTAGGGTGCTTCAGTCCTAGTCTAATATTTTAACCAGTATACCACACTGGTTATTGCAGTTTGTAGAAAAACTAGAAATGATTGTTTCCATTTTGGCTTATGAAACACTGGTTAGCAAAACCCCCTTTTTAGGCTTGTTTTAAACATAGTTTAAGACATGCCAAGGGACTTGATTAGTCATTTTGTAGTTCAATAACTAGATCAGCTTAAGTGACAATTTTCTTTTTGCTCTCAACTAGATTTTGCTGATCCTTCATTTACCTAGTTTCATTTATGTGTCATATAAAACAAGATGGGGTGATTTACAATATTTATTATGTGGTAGGGTGTAATTGCTAAACTGGTACAAGATCTCGTATAGATATTAATGGGAATTTAGAATACCTAACTGATATTAAGTGGGAACACCTTCTTCCATATGTGCCCTCCCACCCCTTGAGATCTGAGGTGGAGGTCCTGGTCCGGGAGCCCTTCTTGAAGGAGATTAGGAGGGTGAGTACCCGGAAGAGGGCCTCCTCTGTGGTGGTGCCCCAACTATGGAATGTGCTTCCCAGAGTGGTTCACCTGGTGCCATCATTATACTCTTTTCAGCATCAGGCAAACCCTTTTTTATTTTCCCATTATTTTAATGTTGAATTGATTTAAACTAGGGTTTTAGTATATCAATTGTCAGATACTGTGGTGTTTGTTTTATTCTACTCTTTTTGTGTAAGAGTAGAATAAAACAAGATGCCTTCCCAAGATGCTTGTAGTGGATGGTTTAGAAAACTTTTATTATATATTGTATTATATTATAGCCATGCTATGCAATTCATTCAAAATGGTGTTGTTGTATGATGTAAATTATGTTTGTCTTTCTTTAAGTCTACTTCAAATTATCACGCCAGAAGATTTGGGGTACGTGCAGCCATGCCTGGATTTATTGCTAAGAAACTCTGCCCAAATCTTACTATAGTGCCATTAAACTTTAAGAAATATAAAGAAGTAAGTGAAGAGGTACGTAATTTAATTCTGTAGCTAAATATACATTGATTATATTAATTTGTCATATGCATTATTTGAAATTAGTATTGCTAACTTCATATTCGGTTAACTTGCTTGGATTCTGAATACAGTATAATGTTAAAGCTGAGATAACTGTGTAAAGAGCAGGAAGAGAATAGTAGGGTTTGTATTTGTGACTGGATTCTTTCACTAAAACTAACCTTTTGATGAGGCAGTTAGTTTTTCCTATCAGCACCTATTAGAATCAGTTGAATTGAACAGCAAAGTCATTTGAGAAGAGCATTCTTCAATCAGCTTAAGCACATTTGTATGTACGCAGTTTGTATGTACTTGCCCAATGCCCAGGGGTTCATTATTAAAAATAAAATTGCCAGTCTCATAATGCTTTTATACACATCTATGCAAGCACACTTGTAATCCTGTAACTAGTTCTGATGAAAATGGATATTGCAGTGCTGAAGAAGGAGCAGAAAAGGGCAAACAAAATGATCAAAGGCTGGAGCACCTTCCATGTGAAGAAAGGTTACAATGTTTAAGTTGCAAAATGAAGAGTAGGGCACTGAAGACTAAGGGGTAAGATAAGGAGCTAACGTCCTGAGCATCAGGATTTGACCAGCCATGATGGACGGCCTTCATACCCAATGACAGAATAAGAAAAGCAGAACCTGAGTGGAGGTCCAGAGACATTCCAAGATCCCATGAATCAGGAATGCTCGAAGCCAAATCCAAGAGATACATCAAAGGATGGAGAAACAGACTGCAGTTGATCTAGCGAGAAGAGAGGATGCATTTAAAATGTATATTTATGTGGACACAGTCTCTTGCCTATTAATAGAACCAGAGAGATTTTAATTTCACCTAGCTGATCCTACCAAGATAATGGACCACCTCTGCACCAGCTCTTTGTAAAAGAGTTCATATCCTGTCTAGGAAAATAAGTTAGTAATAAAGGAAGAAAATTAATTTATTCTTAACAAAAGTTATGAAATTCGGTTGAACTGTTACAATAAGAAAAATGTATTTTAAATATATTTAAGATATTGACTTGTCTAACACTATAAAAATAGGCTCTGACAAAAAACAAAAACAATTATAATTAATTTGTCATAATTTATTATTATGTAATTTTAATAAATAATAAATTATGACAAATTACAGTCCTAAATTTGCATTTTTGTGGCTCTAAAAACAATTTTTAAAGCTGCAGAATGAAAAGGGGTAGTGATCAGTGCAGGGTGCAGACCAGCTTAAGGAGACAAGATGAGCTCTGCTGCAAAGTTCTTTGGGATACATGTTGGAAGCAGGTGAAGAACAGAGAGGGAATAAGCCACAGCAAATGCAGTTTTCTGATATGCACATTGTTGGTTGTTCATAAGCAACCCATGCTGTAAAACTCATTCCCAGGGTGACTTAGCATGATGTAGGAACCTGACCCCGGTGTGGTGTTCTGCTCAGGAGTTCTAGTCAATAGGAACAGAGAAGTAATTTTCACTAATTCCTTACATTGTGAAACCTCTGGTGTCTCATCCCATATTGATTGGCATGTAATACCCATTAGTTTAAGTTAGAGAGCAGGTGCACTAACTGCAGCACACCTACTTCTTTCACCTTTATTAAGCGATCCAGGACTGATTCCCACTGAACTTGATGTCCAAAGCCACTGATTCCCACTGAACTTGATGTTTATGGTATAAAGAACCTAGTATTTAACCCAGCAACAAACAACCACTGGATTGTTTAGGCCCTTACCAACTTAATGGTCTAGATTCAGATATCGTGCTCAGCAGGAGCCCATTGTGGGTTGTTGAGTAAAAGTGGGAGGGGTAGGCACAGTGCAGGAAGTGCACTGTACCTGCTTTTTCCCTCTTACGTATAATGACTAAGGTTTTATACAAATAGATCATCATGCACACAAACCAGGTCATAGTGTTACCTTGTAGATGTGTAGTACTTCAAAGGTTTTTCATTTTTATTTTTTTTCAACAGCCTAACTTTTGAATTTATATTTCTCAAGGTTAGGGAAATACTGGCTGAATATGATCCCCACTTTATGCCCATGGGCCTTGATGAAGCCTACTTGAACATAACTGAACACTTAGAAGAAAGAAAGAACTGGGATGAAAGCAAAAGAAGGTATTTCATCAGTGATACTCCAACTGGTAAGCAATTACCTGGAATTGTCATCCCAAAACATCATAATATAACCTTATTTTTACACTGACTTTCAAAGCAAGTGGGAGGGGAATACTTAAAAAATATTACTTTTAATTATTAGCTGTTTGCATATGATGTTTATTTAAGAGTACATTAGTTGGAACACTTTTGGAAATCACCAGCACAGTTTCTCATATATGTATATAAGCATGTGTATATGTATATGTGTATATATTTCATTAAATTTAACAGAATTAATTTGTTTCCAGAGGATAAAGTTGGAGCCATCTTTTAAAGAACAGACATTTGCCAACAAGTCTCATACTGATTCATTTCAAATGTGATGCTTTTTAAAATCGGCATTGGTATCGAAATTAACACTATATACATTAATGATTCTAGAAAAAATGATTCAAGAAGTTAAAAAAGTACTAGGCTCCAAACTGGAGTTGTATCTCTTTAAGGTCTTCCACTCCTCTGGAAAAGGTGGTACCTAGAAGGGATGATCTCACCTCAGAGAAATAAAAGGATCAGGCATATCTTAGCTTTAGTTAGAACAAATTGATTGCTTGAAGTCCTTAGCAATGTTGCAACTGTGGGCTTCTTAAGAAGGCCAGGCCAGGCAGTGAGTGGTAAGATCAACAGACTGTTACCCCAGTCAAGAATTCCATGTGTACTCTTAATATGTCTATGGATGTAAGGATCTGCATTCATTTCAGCAGGGAGTTCCTTTGCTGGGTTACCTGCTTTAATCAGGTCAGTGAATGCTGTCTGAATAGTGAGCATTAATTACAGAATGCTTTTACTGCCTGTAAAAACAAAATGCTGCAGCTTTCAACAGTCTTATATATTTACTAAAGTTTAGGTTGCTCAATAGCAGAACAATATCTGAACAGTTAGTGGTAAAGAAACCTAATGAAATATTCAGATCAATGTACACTGCTTTACTCAGTGTCATTTTTTGTTGTAAATGTATAACTCATCTATAAGAAAAATGCATTAGAAACCTCCTTTGCTGTGCCATTGCTAACCTGACAGTTCTCCCTGCCTTGGATGAGGAGGGTTGACAGCAATAACAAAGAGAAATAATCTTTAGTGCCATTTTTAACAAAAGTGTTTGCAAGAACTTGACAATATATTTGTCAAGTAGTAAAGCTGAATCTACTTCTGTTGCTAACTGTATAAAGGAATTTGCAAATGAGATGATTTATTTTACAGAATTCTAATAGTTTTTTTCCTTTTTATAACAAGGCAAAAAGAATGAAATTACATGCAACAAATCAAAGCTAAATGAAGATCATTATTCCTCTTCACCAGTCTTGTTTGATGATGATACTCTGATACATAAGCAGTCTGTTGACCCTTCTCTACTGCACTTGCAAGAACAGAAACAACAACAATCAACAACTCAAATAAAATCAGTTGTCTTTGGAACATCAGCTGAGGATGTTGTGGAGGAAATTCGCTTTAAGATTCAGCAAAAAACAAGGCTGACAGCTAGTGCTGGTAAACACAGTTATATTACTAATATTTCTAATTCGAAAAGGTACATCTCAGTTTTTACCGATATGGTCACAACATTCCAGTCATGTGAAGAACTGCAAAGTTTCTATTTATAGAAAAAGCAACTGACATAGACAGTGACTTGCTAGAATCACTAAGAATGATCTACTTTAACAAACAGAACTACAGCTCTTGAAATTTTCAGGCTTTAATCAATATTGTAGAAGACTTTTAATTATACTAGCTCTATAACAGCACAGCTTCTTCAAGAACTGATAGAGATATGCATTCTAAGCTACAATCTACCTGTTCATCTTTCTGTCAGTCCAGGGTATCCACAAAACTTCTTCAGCACTACATTTTGAGTTACCCATTTTTTTATCACTCTTTTTCACTCTCGAGCTTTCACAACCATACATAGTGATTGGAAATACAGTAGTATGGATAATCTTGCCTTTGATCTCAGTGAAACATCCTTGTACTTGATGATCTTTTCTGATTTCTTCATTGCCACCTTTCTAATACGTAGAATCCAATATATAGGGCCTGTCCATATGGTCAGTACACCACAATTTAATGGTGTGCATCTTGTCCAGGGTATGCTTTGAACAATTGCAAAGTGTTAATATGAGGTCTCCTTGGTCAAAGGCTGGGAACTTATTATTTAAATCCAGTAATCAAAGAAGTCAGGGAAAGCAAGTTATTATGAGTTCAATTTCTGTTGCTTTAAGGCACTCAGTAAAGTGTGGAACCAGCCATAATGTGATAGCCAAATCATATGCAATCTTCATTTTTTTATCTTTCCTAAATATAGCAATTTTTTATCACAGACAGGTGGATAATAAAAATGCAGGTTGGATATAGTGTAGGAAATATTAGCAAGTAATAATCCACTGAACCAGCAAAAGGTATAATCATGAAGTTAACATTTTTAAATAAGATAAATGGCAGTGGCTATTGTTCTGTTTCCAGGTAGACATGTTTAGAACCTAGCATAAAGAAAAGTAATGCTATCTTGGAAGGAGTGAAATAATAAGACTGTTACTACTATATTAACAACTTGTTGTTTAAACTGTGAATGTATCAGCATCACTCAGTCCTGACTGAATAATATTTAATGTAAAGCCCTTAAAATAAGTGATGAATTTGAACTAACTTAGTTCAGAAGATGAACTTAAAATGTTTGCATCAATACACTGCAAGTACTACAGCCTTTTATCTTCGCTCCATCCCATGTACCACCACTCTTCTTCAGGCCCTATTCCATCCCTCTTACACTTTTTGCTACTCTGGAAGCAGATAAGTCTAGAGGATCTCCCCCATATTGGCCCAATGCCTGACATGCTGCTATGGCTAATTGCCACATACAAGGACTACTGGGAAATGTAGTTTTCCCAGTATTATGACTTCTGTAGGTAGTATGTTTTGAACTTTTTAAAGTAAAGACAATACACAATATAAGTTCAACTAAAGACATGACAGAAGTGTATACAATTATGTGGCTTGTGGAAAAAGTGGATAGAGAACAGTTTTTATCTTTCACAGTACAACTTGGTAAAGCTAAATGGTGGGAAATTCAGGACAGGTACAGTCCTATTCATTCATTCATTCATTCATTCATTCATTCATTCATTCATAACATGAATATATTATGTCAGCACAAGCACCTTGAATTGGGCCTGGGCCACAATTGGTAACCAATAAAGATCTTTCAGTATAGGTATTATGTGGGGCAATCTAAGGGCTTCCGTCACCAACCGAGTGGTCCTATTCTGTACCAGTTGTAATTGCCGGACCGTCTTCAAGGGCAGCCCTACGGTAGAGTGCATTATCGAGCTCAGGGCCCAGTTCAAGACAGCAACAGCCTCATCTGGACGAGATGTAAAAGAGATGTAGAGCTGAGAATCATAAGCATATTACAGACTCCTCAGCCCAAACCTCTGGATGACCTCTCCCAGTGGCTTCATATATTAAAAAGCATGGGGGATAGCACTGAGCCCTGGGATAGCCCATGATGCAACTGCCACAACACAGCAACAATCCCCCAGGACTATCTGCTGGACTCAGAGAAAGAAAGTGCAAGCAAGCAGGCGAGCAAGCCTTTTTATTTTTATTTTTTTACTCCTGTGGCCAGAGCAGCAAAAATAATAGGAATCAGAAGGAGCATGTGAAAGATTGATGGGTTGGTGCATGAGTGAATGCGAGACAGGAAGGTTCAAATAGAAAGCCACTCCTGCCAGAGCAACAGCTAAGAGATGTGTTGGTGGGTGAAAAGTGATGTTGGATGGGAGACTTACGGTTCACTTTCCAATAAAGTTGTTATTTTATGTATTGGTTGTTCAGTACTATAACTGGTTCTTTGCTAGTTTAAAGTCAGTACAGTTTTGTCATTGTCCCAGTGACATTATTGGAGGAGTGACAGGCCCCAACTGTTTTGAGCTGCGTACTCCATCCCTGCAGTAGCAGACTCACCAGCACTTCTTGCTGAATGCCTTTCTTGTACATGTATGTCTCAGAGCATACACAAAGTGAAAAAAGTTGAACCCTCTCTAGCCCCCTTCACCCAAAGCTTTGTTTATAAATCCTTCTGTGCCTGTCTTGAGAGGGAGGAGTGCTGTGGAACCAGGCACGCCTGCGTTCTTCTCTCTGAGATCCCAGTTGGGCCACCCTGTGAGTGCAACAATGGACTTTTGGGTCAACCTCCTCAGCAGGTTGGAGACTCCATTCAATAGACTCCCCATCTGTAACCCCCCCCCCCCCCCCAGGATGTTGTTGCTCTTCTTCATTCCCATGGGCAGGTTGTCTAGGCTCTTCAGTTGCCCTTGAACTAATCTCTCCCATAGCAGGCATAGGTGGGTAACCAGGGCCTTGGTCTGCAGCTGGAGCCCCTTCATACAGCTCATTCTCAGAGTCTGAGCTGCCCTGCCAGAATGGTCAGCTTCTCATGCACATCTAGGAATCCTGGCGGAATGTGTGTGCACGACACCAGTTCTGACTAGGAGGAATTTGCCCATTGTTATTTAACATTCTGAAATATATTCTTTCTCAAGCAAAAAAATAACAGCAGGCTGTGAAGTTCTAGCAGGTATTGTGAATATATCTATAAATGTTTAACATTTTGATGGAAACTTCCAAGTGAATGACTTCAGGGTGTAGGTCTTCAAATGAGATAGGTAATTAAATTCCACAAAGGGTTAGGGATTTTTTATTTAATAGTTTTAATATGTAGAATCTGAAGAACAAATTAAATGTGAGAATTAACAATGTAATTCTAGAACATGTCATCACAGAAATCAAATACACATTATAGAATTGTATGAGGAAACACAGACAACCCTGTAAGCCATGGCAGTAACAGCTCAACAGGTTGCTTAATCTGAATAGTATTAGTATAAAAGCCCAGATTCGTTTAACCTGCACTGCTTGCAGATTTGTTTCTGGCCCAAATTCAAAGGGACTGCAGACCCATGATTTCTCCTCATTTATCTTTGAAGCTCACTGGGTAACTAGGACGCCCCCGCCCCCCAGCCTACCCTACTGCAGAGAATTGTTGCTGTGAGTGGAGGAGCTGCTTTGGGTGCCTTGCAAGAGGAGAAAAGGCAGATTATAAATGTAATAATACTTGGCTTGGGACCCGAGTACTTCTCCCATGCTCTCCCCAAGGAATTTTGTCTGATGTTGGCACTCATGTTTTCAGCAGCAGACAAGGTTGGATGTTCTCATCTCCCTGGATGTTTGAACTGTATGGCCCAAACGTTTTGGGATGTTTTTGTGCTGTTCTTTCTTGGCTATGAGCAAGGGAAGATTTTGTATGTGGATTAACACTTTCATTGTTGCATCATTTTTTTGATCATGTGTTTAAGGTATTTATTTTTATTATTGGGCTGATTATGGTTTCTATTAAATTTAACTTGGGTCCCCTCTGCCTCATTATATTAATCATAGATTTCTATATTGTATGTGTAAGTAGCAGTAGAAATGATACATGTACATATTACATCAACCTACCTGTTGATATAGTGACAAATGCAGTTCTTGGCACACATTCTTAGAGTTTGCTGACTGGCCTTCAGAAGAGAAGGAGGAGCAAGAGGGGGCTTTGGAATGTAGGCCAATTCCAGACATTGAGATAAGAAAGTAGAGACACTTATCTCAAGGCCAGACTCCCCAGGTGGGCAGACAGCCTCTAGGAATAACCAAGATGTATAGTTTGTGGGAAGGGATTTGGAATGGGGAATTTCTCAGAAATAGATGAGGTGGGTACAGCTTCTCATCCCCTGATGCAATATCAGCAGAGGAGGGAGGCCAATTAGAGGACTGGCATATAGAAAGGAGGTATGCTTGTTTTCAGAAGGCCCAGGGATGGGGCCCAGGCATGCTCATAAGAATTGTTCCTAGAGATGAATACTAGATTGGATTCAATAAGCTGCTTTGTGTATGTCAGAGATTCATTCTGGGTGTTTATGCTTCTGGAAAATGCTTTGGTCAATAAAAAATGTTTATTTCAAGAAAGTAGCTTTTTGAACGTTTGAAAGGGAGAAACCCTATCTCACAATACTACCTGATATCTACTTTGGCTTTTTATTCAGTTATTTAGATTACTGATGTCAAAGATTTATATATCATCTTGAATATGAATATTTTCAGAGCACCATACAAAACAATAAAATCAGAAGTGCTGAGAAAAAGTCCCACATATGAGCTGCCATTGTCAGTCTTCACACATGCCTCCTTAGGTGGTGGGGACACCTGAGGAGGGGCATCCTGTCATCTTAGGAATATAAGTGGCAGTCATCCCTGACAGGAGCACCAGTACTGGGGAGATTGAGGTTGATTGAGAACTTGGCAAGAGGCAGTAGGGCTAGAGGAAATGTTAGATACCAACTAGGCATAGCAGGACCCAGAAACAAAGGTAAAGTTTAGATACCCATATGACATTGCAGGAACAGACAAGAATCAGATATCATCATGGCATGGCATGGCATGATGAAAGGAGAAGACAGTGTCAAGAACAGGCAGTAGTTAAGCCACTAGTGAAAATGTTGCAGCAGTAGAGGTAGAATCCAAATCAAGAACATGAAGCAACTACAACAAAGAATTGGACTACTTTAGCAAAAGTAGGCAGGACTGAGATGCCTTTTATGGAGCCTCCTGCAGCTCCCAGCTGTTCTGCATGATTGCACTGGTTCTGATCCTGCAAGTACTTACAGATCTGATGCAAATCCTGCAAGTACTTGCAAAGTGGACCAGGCTGCCTCCTTTATCAGGTCATTAGGAAGAGCTATAGATCCTGACCAACTCCAAAGATTAATATAGCACATGCATAGGTAGATAAAGGAATAAGCATTTCTTTGCCATTACTTTGAGCTGTAGTCAGAAATAGACCAAAAGCCAGCACAGCTTTTTAGCATTCTAATAGTTAAATCTTGGACCAGACTATTTATGTCAGTGGGGCTGATTTATTAATGCTATTTTCCATTGATCCTCTAGGTTAATAGTATTCTTTTAATAACTATGGTGGCAGAGATTCTTGTGTTTGAAATGGGCATATTACTAATGTTCACATCCCACTATCTCCACATTTCCTAAAGAATGCATAGTAATCTTATTCAGCTATTTCATTGCTATCTTATAAAAGAATGGTTCTGTTTATTATTGTAAGAAATTTTATCATGCCTATTGTTGACAACATTTTTCAAATCTATTTTTAGAATCTATTTTTATCTTTTATCAAAAATGTTTTTGTTTACTACATATACAGCATTTACCACATATACAATAATTTCTGAAGTCATGGAGAACTGAAGTTGAAATATATTTTATTTTTGTTGTGTTGTATGCTTCTTTATTTTGCTTAGGCATTGCTCCAAATATGATGTTGGCAAAAATGTGCAGTGATCAAAATAAACCCAATGGCCAGTATAGAATCCTCCCAGAAAGAGAATCTGTGATGAACTTCATCAAAGATTTGGCCATTAGAAAGGTGAGAAACTGATAAGCTAAAATCCATATTCTTGTTGGTGTCCATATGAGTAGACTATATACTGCTTGCTCCTTTCTTTCATGGCTTCATTTGTATAGAAAATCTAGATTCCCTAATAAAACTCAATAACATTTCTGAAATATTTTCATGCAACTTGCAACAAAGGAAAATTCTTATGTGCCACAAAATGCACTGATGACATGACATTTCTTCCCGTGATATATTTGGCTTATCTTTTATAGCCCTTTTCATTTGTTGTATTAGTCTTGAGAAAGGCAAGTTTATGCCAAAGTTTGATCAAACAAAATATTTCTCATTCACTGAGGAACTTGCATGCCATCCATTTTGGATGAAGCCTTCTGATACCAGAAATATATTCTAGTTATATAGTGACTGTGCAGTTGCTACTGAAAAAATGTGATGCCTTCCTTGCCTTTTAGGTAAATATTTCGCACTCATCCCTAAATATGTTTCTATGAGTATGCTGATTGGCAGCTCCTGATAATCTCTAACATCACTAGAGACTAGCAACAATGCACGTGCCATTTTTTAAAAAAATCTAGGTGCTAAAGGTATCATTTCTGATTACTCCCCTCTGTGGCTGTGGTGTCTTACATTTTTGAGAGAACTTTTATTAGATAATAACTTTATTTAAGAAATAAAGTATGTTTTATACTGCAGAGCTTGAACCTAGTAAGCTAAAGCTTTTACTGTTTTTAACTATAGTTATTTTGTGATATTGTATGGTTTATTTTTTTGTTTTTATGGCCTTAGCTTGTTCAAAAACTGAATTAAGAGCTTTATTGGGAGTTGCTATAAAACCTGAAAGAAAAGGACAGGCATTTGAGGTGACTTTGTTGGAACTTAGGGGGGAAATCACCAGGTATTAGTAGTATAACACAGTTAACAGAAGCAATTAAATGGTTACAAAGTAAGCACCCCATGGAAGAATGTTGCCTATGAGAGAAATAGGCCATCCACAAGCTAATGGTATCCAAAACAACTGCTAGAGCAGAACAGAACCACCATCTTTGCTAATGCTTGAATTGCCACAATATTTTCTTTGTTTTCCTCTCTATTTAACAAAGGACTTTTATGTTCAGATGACTAGTAGGGTAACTGCTGACTTTTATATTTTCAAAGGAGGAATTCTCATTTCATTTTGTCCTAATAGCTTTTGATGTACGTAACTTGCTATGATTTTTAGCATCTGCCTTGTTTACCAGGGAGAGAGAATCCCTATCTTTTTTGTCCTTCTACCTGGGAAATCACTGTCCCTAACCCCATTTTTACCATTACTTCTTACCATTTTACCATGTTGCTTTTGTAACTTTACCATTGTTAAAGTGTCATTCTGTGATTGTCTAAAATGGGCAAACAACATGAAGATTCTGTAGCTGGCCCAGTGAGGCCCTCTCATTCCAGAATTCAGAGGCAACCCTCCCAATATGAACAGCATTTTTACAAACAAAATCGTGTTGGGGGCAGCTACAAAATGGCAAAGGGGCAAGTTAACTTGTTTGCAAGCTCTGGACACTTTTTTAAAATTCCCCATTTCTCCCATTTTTGGCATTTGCTCATGGAGTACATCCTCAGAACTTTCTCCTGAATCTCTTGAATTTGCCTTCCTCTGTTCTTGAAGTTAAATCTCAGATTGAGAAATGGATGTGCCTTAAGCATACTATGTAACTAAAAGCATCCACATACCACTAAAGGTTCATGTAGTTTACATCCTGCTGTTGCACACACTGTCTTTTTTGAGAGCCGGGTATGTTTTGAAATGTTGATGTATTGTGTTTTCCAATGCAATGATAACTAAAGGAAAAATCATCTTCTTGGCATTACATCAGTGGAGGGTAAGACTCTGCAAAGAAAATAGACCCTTCAGGCATTTAAGAGTCAGCAGCTACATCCTTATATTAGATGGGGCAGGGCTTGCAAAGTGAACCTTGGTAGTAGAAATGACAAGGCTCTATTTTTATCTGAAATGTTCTCTAAACCCATTAAATCTGCACAGCCTGCTGCTCCATTTTAAGAGTATTAGAAATTGCAGACTGGGGTATTCATGTTCAACAATAACTCTCCCCTTTTTCCCTTTAATGTCATATCTGAAGATGAGTTCATGTGAACTCAAGTACTTGCCCACTACTATGTTAAGTGATCTTAAAAAAGAGATTGAGGCTTCAGTAGAGTGTGCAGCTTCTAGGAAAGTTGGAACCCCAACATTTTTATTTTTAATGTTTAAGCACAGACCCTACCGAATAAAGAGAATGTATCTGCTGCTGCAGTTCTGCTGGCATTGAAAGAAAATAAAACATACTCATTTTTTACAGGATCAAGAATCTTATACTTCAGTGCACATGTTTTACAGCTCATATGAACAGAGTCTGTTAATACAGAAAAATGTAATAGGTTCACCAGCAATGGGCAGCACTCTGCAAGAGCATGTAATTTAAAAAAAAAATACTTCCATTCCCAAGGTACTTAACGAATTAGTGCAGGCTATCATTCTCTAATTTATACAGTGTTTTGTGCCTCAGAACCTTGTCCTTTATTCATCATTGGAAATTAATGAGAATGATCAATATTCCCATTCCTAAGGAAATGTTTGAAGTATGTTTTTATTGTTTTATCGGAAGCTCCTTGATTCATTGGGGTGATTCTCATGATAATTCTCCTTCAGGTGCCTGGCATAGGAAAAGTAACAGAGAAAATGCTCAAAGCTTTGGGAATTGTGACTTGTGCAGAACTTTACCAACAGAGGGCAATGATTTCTCTCCTTTTCTCTGAAACATCTTGGCATAATTTCCTGGAAATCTCTCTTGGTTTGGGTTCCACACATTTGGAAAGGTATTTTGTGTTTAACAAGATGTATTAATTTTAGATGTTTGCTAAACATTAACATGTTACATTTACAAGGCTGATTCTACTTTGGGGTTTTACTGGTGGGGTTTTTTGTTTTTGTTTTGGCTGAGGAGCAGCATTAAAACACTTTAAGTAAATGAATACATAAAAGGAACATATAGAACTGTCCTTTACCACATTAAGGATATAGTTTACCTGCCCTTATATTTAATTGGTGTTGTATGGAGTGCTGACTGCCAGCACAAAGCAGGATCCTCCAGAGTACATTTGGAAGGTGTTCTAGTGTCTTAAGGTCAGAGGGGAGAACAAAGGGAAATATTGTCATATGAATTGGAGCCCACTTGTGCAATGTTGGATTTAAGTCTCTAACTGCCAAACTTCAAGGCAGAGTTTCCCAGCCTGTATCTTTCAGTGAACCAAGACAGTTTAAGAAGTCTTCATATGTTTTAGTTTCAGTGTGCTCTGTTATATGAACACAGAGGAGCTAAAAACATAGAAACAGTGAAACTGGAATTTATTTAACTAGCATAGAAGGTAAGCTGAAATCCTGCAGGATTCCAGACATGGTAGTGAAGGGAATCCCTCTGCACTACCTTTTCAGATTACCCCCACAGGAAGGACTACTGCTACCAGTGCTGCTAAATCCTATATTAGACAGACCCAGAAGGATGTCATGGTTTCACTAAAAAGTCAAACAGATCTAATAGGAACATACTCCCCCTGTCCATTTCCTGGCATAAATCATCCACCAAGGCAATCTATGCAGTCTTTGTTCCGTAACTAGGCCAGAATCCAGACTGAAATGGATTTATATCAGTGGTCCCTGAACTTTTTTGGGCTGCCACCCTTTTCCCCTTGGGCAACAACCACACCGCCTCCATGCTTCTTTCTTCATGATAGGTAAATTGCCCTACTGCAAATTTAAAACAACCAATCACTGCTCCTCTGGGGGGCAGTACCACCCAGTTTGGAAATCATTGATCTAGATAATCCATCCCATTCAGAAATCCTTGAAAGTGAGGGGTATTACACACTCCAGCACTTTGCCCAAGTATGAAATATTGAACACTAGATGGAAATAATACAGTTTAGGAAGCTTTCTATTTTAAACAAAGGTCTCATTGCTGCCTCCTTTAGGCAAACAAAATCACATCTTGCCTCAAAGGAGTGTCACCACAACCTGTACCCAGTAAGTCATTTCTCCTAACTCTTTTTATAGGCTAGAAGGGGTGCAAAGGTTCCTGTCCACATCCTTGGGCTGTACAGTTTGAAAAGTATCCATTGTAAGCAGGAGCCAAAGTTACATCCATCTGACTTGTTTCAACTATGGCATCCAAGTTGGCATAGATATGATTGATTTTGCTGAAATTCTTATTTCTTTTATATGATATTTAGTTATGCTAATTGCATTTTCCATTGCTTTGTTTCTCGCTTTCACTATGTGTGTGCATGTGTGTTTGTGTAAAACCTTGAGAGGTGTTTATTAATTCAACACTTGTTTGACCATTCATATTTTTCTTTCTTTTCAAAGAGATGGAGAAAGAAAAAGTATGAGTACTGAAAGGTATGTACTCACATGTAGAGCACCCAAAACACCACTAATGTTTAGGTAAGGCAAAGACATTTGCCACCCAAAGTTCAGAGCTGTTTGTACTACACCAAGCTTCTGACTTGGCTTGCTATTTCCTCTGTTCAACTAATATCTTTAATCATCAAGGGGATAGGCAGTTGTCTATCACAAGCTTAGTAAGGACAATCTGTAAAAACACTTGTGCAATATTCCTCTGAATACATTGCTTTATTAATACTTAAACTGCTTAAGAAGAAATATATGATGAAGATAGAAATTATGTGTTTCTAGAAAACTTGAGCCTTTCTCAATTGGAGAGCCACATATTCTTCTAAAAAGCCTAAGTAGCACTTAAATCCCATTGAAATCAGTGTAAGAATTAGTCATGACTAACTTAGCTCCTATTGATTACATTGGAAACTGGAAGCAAGTCATTTATTCCATGGCTGACTTTTCATTACTGCCCAAGTATCATTTCTTTTGCTGTTATACAGCAGGGTACACAGGAAATCATATTAGGGCTGTTTCCTTGAGTTTCCTAGATAATCATCTGTTATATACTGAGATTTTTTTTTAATGTCAGAGTAAAACACGCATGTTTTGTTTTTGTTTTTTTGCAAATCTCACTTGCATGGTCTTAATCTGTCTGTTATTATTTTGCTGTGTATACCACAAAGGTCGACAGAAAGAAAGAAAAATCTTCCCCAGGTATATTTGAGAGCAGAACATTATTAGTTATTGCTGAGATTATTATTTTTTCTTTTTGGTGCTTAGGACATTTAATGAAATAAGTACAGAAGAACAATACAAGTTGTGTCAAGACCTTTGCAGTGATCTTGCTCAGGATTTGAAAAAGGAAGGACTAAAAGTAGGTAACCTCCAAATACATTATATAAATTTTTGTATACTTATACTCAGACATTCTGCATCTCTTGGCACAGTGCTTCTGTGTAAAGTATTTTTATTTTGTTTGCTTGCTCCAGTAATGGGAGTAATTTAGGCAAGAATATATTTAGCCTAAAGTTATCTTGTGTCTCACAAAATCAATTCGCTAAGTAATTTTGCATAGAGAAGATGCTGGAGTAAAAACTGTTAATTAGCAAAAGAAAGAACAGTAATGGATTGCATTTGGTCTTACTCTGGCCATGCGTATAATGATCAAACATTTAAAGGATGTACCATTATTCCTTCTCAACTAATTCATAATAGATGCAGCCCAAGGCAAACACTGTAGTTTAATCGGGAAAGGTACACTGTATGTACTACAGCTCCATTGCCTATTAACATTTATAGTTTAACAAGGAGAAACACACAGGAACATGTAGAGAAATTTTAGCTGCTATTTACTTTTTGAAATTTCTAGGCTACCCTCTGAAGGCTTGGTACAAGTAATAATTACAAACACACAATTAAAATATATTAAAATAATATAAATAACATTTATCTTTTGACTCCAAAACATTTGCTTCCAGAATGTGCTTGGATCTCTGGAGAGAACTACAGTAGTAGGATCAGGCACCAGTTTGGTCTCTTGATATACTGCTTGTTCATTAGTTACTTTGACATTGCCTTTCTCTGAACTATCTCTAAGGTGCCTAACAACAATCAGATCCACAACAGAATATAACAAATACACCAATAAACAACAATGCTTTTTTCTGAACAGTTTTAAAGTTCAGCCCCATGTGGAACACACTGCAATAGTAATGTCCTAACGTTTTACAGGCAGACATCTTAGTTGCTAGGCTTACGTGACAAAGAAAGTGTCCTGTTTCAATTTTGTTTTAGGCTCTCTAAACCTATGACCCATTTTCTTGGGCTTGGCCCCTCTGTCATCATTTGATAAAATCATAAAAATTTTATTTTGAATTTGAAAAGAACTGTGTTTAAGTGGTTTGAAAATAGTCTAAATATTGGATGGCATTTTTTGCCTCTTATGATTAACAGACACCAGCTGTAGACTTAACTGTACATAGGCAGCACATAATTAAGTGACCATAATGCTTTGATCTGTTTTTCACCTGCTCCTTGAGCTTGTCTGCTGTTCTCAAAGTCTCTGTCTGTCTACTCCTTTAACAATACCCAACAGTCAAGTTATTTAAGAAAATAATAGAAGTGTCATTGATTTTATTACTACATTTGTTCTAACCTATAGTCAGCAGAAAGTCAGTGTTTTAAATCAGCCTCAAATCCTGAACCAGATAAGCCTTTTTTAAATGAAATTATAACATAAAATATGCATTCTTTTGTTCTCACCTGTGGAAAGGTGTTAAGTGCTGATGACATGGTTCTAAAGTGAACAATATACATAGTTTTATTGATGAATACTATATATCCATGTATGTGAATACAAACATATTTTCCGCCAATATTCTTCGTGTGCATTTTTCTCACATATGAAAGTCAAGGTTAGGATGACTTAGCAAGACTCATTGTGAGTTACATAGTTAATGATAAGCCACAGCACCCATGAGTGCCAAATTTCATATCCAAACTCTGTTTGGGGCTTGTCATGTCACATGAACCCAGTGAATGTGGGTTATGAGAGGGTTACAAAACCCTCACATAATGCCAAAACAAACCATAATTTCATGTTTGCACAACTTACACTTGCCAGGTTCTCAAGTCATGGCAATCCCTGCTTGGGGGTTATATATTCGAAATGGCCATTGTACATGTGGCATGTGCCCTACAACGCACCACATTCTCACCATGATGGGCTGTTACATTGTGTGTTTGTCCCCAGGCTTTCTTTCAGTGTATGCTAACTACAAGGAGTAGGTTTCCTCCCTGCACACTGCAGTGATATCTTAAGAGGTTATACTGTACTTGTTTTGTGTTAGGGGAAAATTATATCCAGTTCGTTCCATGCTGTGTTTCCTCAGAAGAGCAGATATCACCTCTCCTCCAACAACCTGCATACTGTTTGACTGCTAAAACTCTACTAGAATAATTAAAAAAATAACCCTGCTCCAATTTGTATAGCCCTACCCTGGCTTTTATTAGACTAGGGCAGTGATGGCGAACCTTTTAGAGACTGAGTGCCCAAACAGCAACCCAAAACCCACTTATTCATCACAAAGTGCCAACAATGCAATAAAATCTGAATACTGAATTCTTCACACACAACTAAATATGATGCTGCAGATTCAGATATGCCAGATATGTTGTGTGGCAGCACAACATTAAAAGTCTCTTAATTAGAACATCTCTTTCCTAAATCTTAGATATTAAATTTCAGTTTTTCATTAAAAAAACCCCTCAAAGCTAAAATCTTGTGTTAATTAAAACGAATGTATTAAAACTCACAGCCAGTCCAAGTATATATCCCTGGCAGCACACTGACTGACCATGTGAAAGCTCGGACAAGTTGTGGCTAATAAGTCGCAGCTCATGATGTCATCACCTGGTGCCACTACTCCTTTCCAAGCATCTGCATGGGCCCTGTGTGCACTGTTATCCGATGCTCGGCTGTTGGGGCGATGATGGGGCAACTTGGCTCGCATGCCGACAGAAAGGGCTCTGTGTGCCCACTGCGGCACGCATGCCATAGGTTCGCCACTGCTGGACTAGGGTATGCAACCTGAGAAAGGCAGGTAAATCTGTAAATAAGATTGAACAAAAGTAGAACAATTTGATCCATCACTTGGCAAGCTAATGGCATAATGCAAATATAAATGAAAAGTTAACTGAAGCAGTTTGAACAGCTTATTTTAAAGCTGTATCTTTAACCTCAGAATATTGCTGCATTAGCAAGGTTCTAAACCATCTGACTGAGAAGACTTGTTTTTAATAGGCTAGAACAGTAACTTTAAAGTTGAAGAATGTAAATTTTGAAGTGAAGACAAGAGCTACTACAGTGCAGACTGCAGTTTCTAATGAAGAAGAAATATTTGCTGTTGCTAAAGAGTTGCTTAGAACAGAAATGGAGTGTGTTGCCCCACAACCTTTACGTATAAGACTGATGGGTAATTATCATATTTAACAATTGTATTGTTTGTTATACTTAATTTTTGTTTAATTTTTAAAAATTAAGACAAACTTATTTTTTTAATGTACAGCAAAAGTAACACTGGATGTTTCAAAGAAAACATGGTTATGAAAACTATATGCTATTATTGCACTTACTTTCTTAAAATATAACAATCTTTAACTCTTTCCTTCAACATTTGTATCTTATTTGCAATTACTTGGTTTTTGAGAGGCAATAGGTTTGGTGCCTCATTACGGAAAGCATCCAGTAGGTTACATCCAATTTAGCTATATGCAGCAGGGCTGGTGGAAACAGACTTCTCTGATCTTCTTCCCCATGCATGTCCTCTACTCCCCCCCCACCACCACCACTAAATGGGGTGTTAGTCTGCAGAGGAATTGAAGATCCTTGAAAATCAGCTGAAGGTACCTTTTGTGAGCACTCCGATCTATCCCATTCTGCATGATCCCCAATGTTCTGTGCAGGATTTTCAGGGGGCTGGAGGAAGTAGTAGTTTCCTAGTTGCTATGTTACATGAACCTAAATCTGGATACAGCCCAATATCTGCAAGGGAATTTTATTTTTCATTTTTCAATTTATATCCTGCCTTTTTCCTACAAAGGGCTCAAGGCAGCTTACATCATTCTCTTCCTCCACCTTATCCCCACAACAACAACCCTGTGAGGTAGGTTGGGCTGAGAGTCTGTGACTGGCCCAAAGTCACCCAGTTGGCTCCATGGCTGAGTGGGGACTAGAACCCAGGTCACCTGAGTCCCAGTCCCATGCTCTTAACCACTACACCACACTGGCTCTCTGCTGAATTCAATTTCCTGGGGTATCAGTTCTCACTTGAATGAAAAGAAAGCAGCTTCATTTAAGAGATAAATCATAATCTTGATTTGCAGTCACAACACATTTCTGTTCCTTTTATTCAATTAAATCTAGTCCTGTTACTCAACTGTTGCTTGCCAAAAATTCCTAATACCACAAAAATGTAAATGGTACATTTAGCATAAGGCATACTAATTTAGGAAGTTTTTAACATCCTTGTTACATAAAACTTTTCCTGGCAGCAGGAAGCATTGAGTTCTTTGCTTTCTTTTATAAATACGTTTTAAGATTTAAAATCCAAGTGTTCTAAGAGATCATGTTCAAAGAATAAGTATTTTATAATATGAATAAAATTGTATGGCACTTATGGCATCACATGTTGACGTGCAGTACTGTGTTATAAGCTCCAGCAGTCATAATGATTCAATGGGAACTCAGCGAAATATGTTAAACTGCAATTTTACCTTTATGTTAGAGTGCTCTGATATTTCCAAAGTCCTGTTGGGCATCTATGGGCAGAGAAGAAATGATGGAGGATTTTTAAAGCTTTTTTAACCATAAGAACTGATCTAAATGTTTATTATTTATTTATTAAAAGCTTTTTTACCCCGTCCACCACTAGCATCTCAGGATAGCTTGCAATAAAATGAGTAGAATGAAACAAAAACACAGCATCTGACCATTGAAATACTAAAACTCTAGCTAAAATCAATTAAACATTAAAATGATGGGAAGATTAAAAAATAAAATGTTTCCCCCTTTTAGGGGGAATTCAGAGCCTTCCCTGCTCTTCCCATATCACATTTTGTTTTTCTTCTTTTCCTGTGTTGAAGAGACAATTTTTCCATGGAATGGGGAAATCAGAGACTGGATCTCTTCCTCCAAGACAAAAGCTGTGTCTCTGACCTTGAGGGGATTTCCAATCTATCCTGTAGCTACTGGGATGCTCTCCTGGGGAAGATAGGATAGTCCTGCTAGTCTGGATTCAGCTCAGTGATTAGAGTAACATGCAGGCGATAGGATTCCATTGAGGGAGGGTATTAAAATTATCTGTTTGCAAAGATTTCTGTTTCATGGAAGGGATCAGACTGCAGTTCAAATTACATTTACCTGGATCTTGTTGATTGTCATGAGATTTTAAAGTTTTCAACTTTATGTGACTTTTTTGTCATATTCAGGTATCCGAGTATCAGGTTTCCTAAACGAAGAAGACAAGAAATATCAACAAAAGAGCATTGTTAATTTCTTAGAGCCAGGGAGGAAAGTCAGTGTTTCTAGGCTTACATTTAGGAAATCTGTTGAAGAAAGTTCTCCAAAAGCACCTGAAAGGGAAAGCTTTTTTAATAGAAAACGAGCTACCAGACAGCAAGCCTATCAAGGAACTTCTATAAGTGAGTCTTCAAACAAAAAGCAGAACCTACAAAATGCAACCTCAGTTGAGCAGTTGAAAGAACATCAGATCTTCATTTGCCCTGTTTGTTTTAAACAGCATCATGATAACACTTTAGAAGAATTTAATAGACACATTGACAAGTGCCTTAGTGGAACATTAGAAAAAGCCAACACAGAAATTACAAATAGCAATTCATGGAAAAGTGGAACTGATCTGTCTCTGGAAAGGGAAAAGAAAGAATGTAAAAAAATTGAAACAAGTAAGCCATCAGTAGAAATGCAATCAACAGATATAGTCAGTCATGATACCAATAGTAGCACAGACTTTATTCCTAACCTGCAAGATGATGAAAATAGTACAGAAGGTGTAAATAACTGTACTAGTGACCTTGCATTTGATATGCACTCAAAGCAGGACTTTTCGTCTAATGCATTATCAGTGAAAAAAGAAGAGTATTTTGAAGAGTCCAGTTGTGCAGAAATCAACTTGCCATGTTTTTTTGATGCAACTGAAAGTAGAATGTTAGTTTGTCCAGTCTGCAACTTAGAACAAAAAACAAAGGACCTTGCATTGTTTAATAGGCATGTGGATGTTTGCTTAAACAAAGGCATTATCAAGCAGTTGACAGAAAATTCAAAAAGCATGGGTGAGTATTTAGTTTACCAGTCATTACTTAGAAGCGTTTGTCTGGTTGAACAAATTAAGACCTTGAATATGGTACAGCAAGTGAATTTAAATGATATCCCATTAAGGAGTCTTAATCTGCTTTTTGAGGATTTAAAAAAAAATTGAGCTCTGGGGAACTAATACAGAAATATACAAAATAAATTGGATGCTACATATCCTTGGTTTGTATAAGAAATGTAGAATTACGTGATGCATTATTCCTACCTTTGGATCATTTGGTGTATATCTCATATTTGTTCCCCTCTTGTAAAAAACAAACAGTATGGGTAATCTCAAAAAATAAAACTGCTAGTTCTATCAAATTATTGCATCACTCTGAGTTAATTTTCCAATCTGCTTTATAAAGTGAGTGTCACCATTATTGTTAAGACTGGCATTGAAAATAAAGGAACAGATGTTTAACTGTGCAGAGTTTTACTTTGCACACTTATTACTAGTGGTAGCAGTATTCTGAATCAAAATACCAGCAAAATTCATGGCTGTTCAGTCAAGGAAAACTTCTTGAAATAAAGATGTCTTCAGTGGGTGCTGAAAACAGCACACTGGTGGTTCCAGCTTGACCTCCAGAGGCAGGAAGTGCCACAGAAAGCGTGCCAGCCCAGTGAAGGGTCTACATCAGGCAAAGTAGAAGGCTGTACTCCAGTGAGATCATAGGTCCATACAGAACCACCAGGATCCCGTCATCTTATTACTTCATTTGCTGGGCAGGTTATTAAAGAAAAAGGCTTTCTCAAGTATCCTGGCTCCAAGTTGTTTAGGACTTTATACACTAGCAGCAAAACCTTCAACCTGCCCCAGTAGGAAATAAGTAGCCAGTGCATGTTCCTTAGCAAAGGAGTTACATACTGAAAAGAGACAGCTTCTGAGAACAGCTAAGTTGACACATCCTGCACTAGCAGCACTTTCAAGGGCAGCTCCACACAGAACACATAGCAGTAATCCAGTCTAAGCTTACTAGGGTTACGGTTAAAAAGATGTTTCAGCTGTCAGTTGAAATGTAGGAAGTAAATGTCCTATATTTTAACTCTTGCTGTAAATAATGTTTAGGCCCAAAGGTCCTGCTTTATATAGTATTTGACACCTGTGGCATCTGTATGAAGATCAAGCAGTGTGTGAGATCCTGTTTTGGAGGGGAATTAAAAACATTGGGGGAGTTAAATGAGCCATCCCTATCACAGGGACTATTTTCTTCCTCTTTTGTGTCTTTGGAATGGAAGAAAACCCATTCCTAAAAATCACCAGTAAAGTTTCTTATATTTAATTTGAGCCATTCCAAGACAGACGTTTCTCTCCTTATGCACTAGTCTAAGCATGGTGGCAAGAATGCTACAAATGGAGGGATTGAAGACACATGAGGTAGCCACCATGCTGAAGCTAAACAAGACTAGGTCTGGCTGGTGCTTGGAGGGGAGACCACCTGGCAACCTTGTATAACCTCCTTGAGTACTATGCTGGAAGAAAGGTGGGATATAAATAATAAAGGTGAACAGGGAAATTGTATGGAATGTTAGATGAAATAAATTCATGGAAGGGAGGGGCAATAATGGGGTAAATGGGGAAGGTAGTATAGTAAAATTCTCAGTTTTTGTGGGTTCTAATCTGGTTTATACAATTTTCAGAGAATACATTCTTGTTTTCAGTTAAAATACTGTAGATATTCCATATTTTTCTTCAGGCATCTTGGATGGAGGACAACATGGTACAAACTCCACAGTGGGAATGAAACGGTAAGCTCAGTGTGTGCATAGTGAACTTTTGAGTAATTAGAATCACCATCAACTTGTTATGTTACCACAGTTGTTTAGTTTAATTATTTTTTCCTTGAATTTCAGGCCTGGAGCAATGGTTCCCCAGTCAACATCCAAAAAACCAAAGCCAAACTCTTCTAAGTGCACAATAGAATCATTTTTCAAATGAATGCAGTATATTTTAAGAAGGACTTTTTGATAATTGCAGTGGTACAATACTTGGGATGTAAAATATGTTGCTCTGACTTTCTCCTTTGTGTATACATTTTACAGATGATTTTGCACTATCCAAAGTAACATTTTACTTTCCAGAGGTTGCCCTTGTGATAACTTTATTTTGAAGAATGAAAATGTATTGAATGTTGACTTTGTTTATGCTGATGAACAAAATGCCCTTTCTCTAGGAGTAATGAACCTCTCTGAGTACTAAACTCAGCAACACTCAATGCAACTTGGTACCCATGCCTGTAATTTTAGTAGCTCTTTGATATGAAAGGAAAGTGAAAGAATTATGCTTTCAGTTGGTAATTAACAGATGAGCTTCACAAATCATGTTATTAAATGTGTACTCTTGATGATGGGACAGTAAAGCCAAGATCTGAGATTTAGTTTACTATACTTTGTGCAATGTTGTTATATTAAGTACCATTAATTGATACACTTTAGGTCTTTTCTGTACAAAAATGCACACAAATGCACACTCAGATGAAATCCTAGCTGCCATGCTTTAAATCTATCAACACTGTTGTATTGCCTGTATCATTTATGTTTTGTTTCATAGTTTTCAAGTATTTTCACTATAGTGTCCAGTGGTTACTCTGCCTTTCCAAATTATTTGACTTCACTTTAAGGGACAATTCAATTATTAATTAGAACAGTGGATATTACTAAGATTCTGCCAAGTGTGACAGATTCATTGTCAGGAACATAGGATAGAAAACTGAATCATGAAGTAAAGTCTGCCTTTGTGCTGTTTTTTAAATAAACTCATACTGGTGAACAGGGGAAAATAAGGGACACTTGACTCTGAAGGGATTCTACCAACCATATTTTAAATATGAAAAAACAGTGTTGTGTATATTCATATTTATAGAAACTATATATATTTAAATAATTTTATTTATAATATATTCACAATATATTTTCAAAAATTTTGAGAACATTTTAAAAGTCAGTGTAATGAATTTTCATTTGTTAATTTTGTATTGCTTTATATTGTTAAATAATCAGAATAGCCACAATTAAAATTACAGTTGTTCTGCCTGGACAGATCTCCACATTTCAAAGAATAAAGGGATTTACTGCATTGTGTAAATTCTCAGGTCAACCCAAGCTGCCCTGCCACCCCCCCACCAGCAAAAAACAAAAAAGAAAAGAAAAGCCTTGCATGTGTTAACTATATTGCAGTCTTTTAGTTAAACATCTGTCTTGCTGCCAGAGGTGTCAAGGAATTGAAGGCTGGTGAGGGAATGGGCTGGCAGAGTAGGGATAGAGTGCTCTCTTCCTCCTCTGCCCCAGTATAGAAGCCAAGTAGATTACTAGAAGAGAGGGTTGCTCTCCTTTGTGCTTCAGATAGATATGTAGTAGCTAGTGAAAGAGGACCAGAGCTCCCTATTTTCTTTGTCCTAGTTCCCAGACTAGGAAAAAAGAAATTGCAGGCTTGTCACTTTGTTGGCTTATTTACAGGACTGTTGTGCACACAACATATTGGGGTCAGAACAATTGGGTCATCAAACCCCAACACTTGGCAAGAGCTTTTTCCTCTTGCACTGCCTTGGAACCAATATACCTGATCCTCTGACCTTCTATCTTGGCATAATAAATTAATGTTATTAAAAGTAATATTTTGTATTTCTGTGATGGTATAGAAGTTTCCAAGTCATGGGTTTCTCCTTCATGGGTTCAGACCAGAGTGGAGGTATGTGCTGGCTAGCCCTGTCCCATGGTCACCAACCACATGGTTGATGAGATGAAATATCCCATCAGGTGAAGGCACTTAATGTGAGTACACTGCTTCTCAGTGGCAAATGTGTGGCTAGTGGATGTCATTGTAGAAGACAGCAGAAGTAAAGACATAGAGGTGACCCTGCCCCCAGCTAAACACATGACAGGTACTGTGGTGTAATAAAGACATTCCAGTTTTCTGCCATTTGTGTTACCAGTGTAAAGCATTTGGCCATAAGCAAATCATGCTCTCTCAACTACAATCTCCATCTGGAAACTTTGAATTATAGTAATTTACTCACAATTACATAGACATATACAGGAAAGACTGCAAAATATGAACAAGTCAGATATAGTGAAAGAAAATTAATTAGATTCAAGTATAGTATGCCAGTTTACACTAGCTGGAAGCAGCTTTCCATTGCAAAAATCAAAGACACATCTACATGTTGAGAGGCTAGTAGGAGAGAGAGCTTTCTTCCACTGGACCCTTTATTTGCATGGGTTTCTCAGAAATAGAGATACTGATACGGTCCGGTGGCGGGGAGGGGGGGAGATGAATCCTGTCACTCACTTGTCTAGCTGGGAAGTAATTTGGGTCCTTTTTCCAAGTATGCACCCATATCAACCCTGCAGGAGAGGGAGGGGAAGAATTTAGGTTTTCTTTCCCACGATATAAAAGTGCAGAATTTAGCAAAACTTAAAACACTGGGAATGCAAGTAGTAGCAGCTTTGTAAAATTCAGAGTTTCATGAAAATTCCTCTTTGAAACAGCACAGCCAAATAAAAGGAATTGGAGAGGAGAAACAAGGGATGGCAATGATCAAACATAGTGCATGTATGTGCAAAATTTACACACATTTGCAAATAAAATTAAGGTAAATCTAACCTAGTTCAATGTCACCTACTGGGTCTAATCTTGCATTTCAGAGTATATAAAGAGAGAATGGTCTAAGAGAGAACATCTTGGCTTCCAATTAGATGAAATCTAGAAAGTCCCAGAAGAAGAAAATTCTAGTATTATGGGAATCTGAGCTTTGTAAAAATCTGTCACCTTAGTGGAAACTGATTTGTCCAATCATGTGATGGCTTCCATTTCCAATGACATAGGTTTGGCCAGCAAATCAGAAAATTACTTAGGGTTACTTAACTTCCTAATGACTATAAGCTTATATCCCAATAGATCAAACTTGTTTGTGTCAGCCCATTATAAATAGTGTCAACAAAGCTATTCAGATAACCTAGCAAAGATCCAAATGCTCAAGTGCCTAACCCTCAAGTTCATTATCTAAGAACCTCAAACTGTCCCAACACACCAAGCACCCCAACAACCAAGAGGCATTTCTACAATCTAGATTTTCAAACACATATTCCATGGGTCTGCTCCCCTTCTTTGCATTTCAGACAAATCCCGTCTCACACCCTTCACAGGATTACCATGCCAAGCAATCTTAAGGAGCAACACACCTCAAAAAGCTATCAATACCCTGCTGTCATTTAATGCATGTTACCAGCAAGAACAAGTTCCAGCCCCACATCTACATCAGCACACACAACACCCAGAAAATTCCAGCCACTGTGTGATGTTGTCCAGGCATCAAACATTCCCATGGCCTTCAATCTTACTCTGCATTCTAGAAGGACAAACTGCTTCCTGTCCAGCAGGGAGAAACTAACTTGCAACGGGAAAAAATGGGAGATGTGCATTACCTGCCTTACAGAGTGGATTTTCTGCAGCAGTGGATTTTTTTTTGCAGGAAAGGTGCAAGTCCTGTGTTCACAACTTGCCCCTCCTTCAAAACCCCTGGGACTACTTCTGGATAGACTTAGTCTGAACAAATGGCTGGCAGTATTCCCATTTGATTTTGCATTTCTCTCTTAAATTCCAGCCTGTGGAAATCCATAAACATCTTGTATCTTTGTCCATTCCCTACTCAATAACATCTGACCTTGGGCCAGCCACCTGGCAACTATAGCAAACTCTTTAAGATACAGTTTTTTGTTTACTACTGGGGTAAAAGCTGGCTTCAAGACTTAATTTGACTGTTCCTTCTGGCCTGAGTACATGCAAACTCCAGCATCTCATGAAGACAGAAAAGAGTCTATACAGTACTTAGTAGCTCCAAACAAACACAGAGCTAGAAATTCAAAGTCCATAAATGCAGGAACTAGCCTGGTTTTGGAAGGCAGAATATCTTCACTGTGACCTGGGCGGAACTCTACACTGAAACTTACCCACTTATGGAAAAAATGACAAAAAGCAGAATGAGCAGCAGAAAATTATTCCTGATTAATTTCATGTGTCCTGCAGATGTTTCATACCTTTCAGTATCTTTCTGGAACTGTGTTTCAGAGCAGAATACAGTGGTGGAGGATTTTTAAACATTGAATTTCAGATGAACAAATCATGGTCCAGATTCTTCTTTAGAACCCAAGAAATCCTCTCAGACCATTTGACCCAGGTTCAAATTCATATACAGGCATGAAGCACACTGAATGACCATGAGCTAAATACTATCAGAAATCCTAACCCAGTTCACAAAGTTGTTTTGAGAATAAAACAGGGAAATGGCTAGGTATGCCCTGAAGTAGTTTTGGTCAAATTGATATGAGGAACAGCCTGTAATTACGTTGTTCTCCCTGCATTACAGGTTTGAAATATATTGACATTTATATCCTGCTCCTTTGGTAAAGAAAAGAAACCCCATAGTGGTCAATATTGAAACCAAATAATTATACTTACTGATTAAACAGATATATAAAGGCTGATAAGAGATGTATAGCATATTTATTGGAGCAGAGAAATTTATTTTGTATATAAAATACATATTTAAAAAAATGTATCCTGCCCTTTACACAGTCTCAGGGCTGCAGGATATTGAGCAAGGAAGGTCAAGACTTTCTTCCTGTTTCTCAGTATTCCTTTCCTTGTTATTGCTAAATGAGCTACAAAGCCTGTGAAATCTTGATCTGCCCCATCTTTTGATTCACTTGATCCTAATTTTGTGATTAAAAAAATGTGAACACTTGTATATTTTTTCTAAGAACAATGGAATATTAGCGGCATCTTGAGCAGAAAGTGGTGGGAAAGGCTGCTTAACTGTTTGACCACTGTTCCACTGAAAGTGTTTTTCTTCCTGGAGGTTGGTTTTAAGTTGAAATACAACAAAGACAAAATTCAGTCATCTTTTACTCAGCCCATTTTTCCTGTGCTTCTGTTTGCAGCCTTCTACTGCTTGTTATACATTTTTAAAAATGCAACATCCATGTGTGCTCTGTCTTAACATATCTTAGAAACAGCTCTCTCCTAGAGCAGTTGATTAATATAATTATCTGGTAAAATTCTTAAGACCTGATGTGCTATATCTTGGACAATTCTTAGCAATCTTTCCTTTGGTTATTATTCTTCACATTCTCATTTGTATTTACTTTACACTGAGTCATTTATTTTTAGTGTTTATCTAGAGGGTGTAAAATTAGCGCTGGTACTCAATTTAAATAATGCTTAATCTTATTAATTTTGTAGACCGTTCTCTAGTGTGGACCAGCTGAGTCCTGTGGCCAAAGTATGATTGCTATCATTGGTAGCAACATTTTACACCATTCTTCAGTCAATTAAGGCTTCCTTAAACAGGTTACAGAGATCAGACTTAAAACCTAAAAGACACAGATACAAAAGGAAAAGGGATGGTGGTGGGGGAGGAATATACATGGGTACTAGATCTTAATTACAAAGTTGTTATGAAAGTGGCATGAGAAAACCTGTAGGAGAATGCCTCCTAGGTGAAAACACAAGAGGCCACGATAGGATGCGAATGGACTGCAATCCATCCCATAATGAGAATATACTATTGGCTGTATGGCTTCACAGCATGAGTGGAGGGCAGCGTGTAAGTGCACAAGAGGTCGTTCATGCTGCAAGCTCTGGCAGCCCCTGTCGCCACTAGGGCAGGGAAAGGCTCGTCTCCGCGACTTGAGACGATCCCGCCCGCCTCGCCTGCTCAATGGCCTTCGCACTGCGCCCACTTCACGGGCAACTCGGGAACGCGCGTATTTTTTGCGGGAACTAGAGGGCAAGCCACATTGGGGCAGTCTGCTCCCTGCCGCCTGTGTATCCCTCTGAGTAAAACTGCAGGATGCATTTTCTTGGCAATGTTGAACGAATCATTAATTGTATGTGAGGATTCTTTCTATTTTGCGTCTTCAACTGATTCCCACAATCCTTTCAGAGTTCTGTAAAGCTGACTTCGGGAGCTTAGGTATGCCTAACTCTACGAAGTGGAAGAATTTGTGGCTGGAAAGAATTTGAGGGCGCTCCACCATGTATTAGTCTTCTTCCACTGCTATAGCGCTAGCCAGTCATTTAAACCACGACTTGTGGACAGTAGTCTAGACTAAAAACGCTAGTTAAACAGTACGGACTCGGAAAGGAGTCCTCCTCCTCTTACCAGCTAGCTTCTGCCACTTCCTTCTTTGAGGAAAGTAATACATATTCTTATCTATTTGGCGGAGAAACGTAAAACACACACTGAGCCACTGGCATACAGGGAGTTGTCCCTTACAAAGCGCCACCCTTCCCAGGCGCAATTTGTTCCAGGCGGCCGCTTCGGAGGCAGCGCCATGGAGGAGACCTGGAGCCGCGCGGTCCGGGGTCTGGCTGACGTGCTGGACTTTCTGAATCCCCGAGAAGACAGCAGCGCGCAGGCAGTCGCGGCGGCAGAAGCCGCCACTGCGGACACGTGTGAGTCCTTGTGTGAGCAGGAGAACGGGGCGCCCCGAGGCCGAAAGAGCCTCTTCGCGGTTGCTGGACTTCTAGCGGCCGCGGATGTGGCTGCGTCAGAGGGGCGCTTCCCCGCAGAAGGCGAGAAGGGGCTGCGCTCGAGCAGTCAAAGGAGCGGATCCTGCCTTCGTCAGGGGTTTTGAACTCTTTGTGCTGAAACTATGCTCGGTTTTGTCAGATGTTTAACGAATGTAAGGCTGCAGTCCTATCCGTCTGAGCTCAAGAGGGCTTTCTTTTGAGTAGGCTTGCATCCAGCTGTACTGTAAGATACGATGACGACCTCATGAATAACAGGGAACAGAGGCGGTGTTAGAGGGTAGGCCACTAGTACTGGAGCCCCGAATATCTGGGACGGCCATCTGCCCTGTCACCCTACTATGCAGGCGCACTTCATGCAATAAAGGTGCAGGAGTGCTGATGAACTTGGTTGCACCTGATCTCCCAGGATTAGACGACTTTTTGCCCACATGTGCTTCACATGTACTTCCTTTCTGAGGGCTTTTTCTGTAATCAAATCCTCTCCTCCAGTTTTTTCAGCGGCATCCGGCCACGCCAGGGCCTTTAGAGGCCCACAGATGAGGATATGCAAACCGGTGCTTTTGTGATGCTGGTGGTGCAGGTTGTCCCGTGGGCCTGAGTGCAGATGTGTGCATTACCTAGCATAGTCTCAGCAGGAGAATAGCAGTTTTAGTTACTTGCTTATTAATAACTTTTTCTCAAGTGTCCAATCTCTCAGTCTCCATTTTTTGCATAAGAAATCCTGTTATCTCTTATGCTAGTTTAGATGGGGATTGGAATGCAGCTCTGGCTGGCTGGGGCATGCTAGGAGCTGTAGAGCTTTTTTCCTTTGAAGATACCCAGGATTCTGATTTAAAGAACATGACAGGCAGGGATAGTTGCCTCACCCGACAAGTACAAGGTTTGGGAATGGGGTTGGAGATATGGGGAAAGGTCACCATATAGTAGGCCATTCCCCCCTTTTCAGATATGTCCTTCCACAGAGTATAAAAACACTATTTTTTCAGTGTGAAGGCTCAGTCCTGGAAGACTTGAATACTGTAATTAAAAACAAAATGTATGCATATTCTGCCTGGGTTTTCCTCTGTGCCATTTAAAATCAGTTCTATGGGCTGTTCACAAAAATAATTCTTTAGAAGAACTCTATAAAGGTAGATTGGGAGTATGTATGCATTTTTGTATCAGTGATGTGAAGGGATAGTAGCTTATTATTCATATTCTAAGCAGGACAAAAATAGATCCCTGCTTCTGATGGCTAAAACATTTTCCATAACTTCCCTGTGTACCAGCTTTGTACTTAAGCATTAGCCAGGCAGATAAGTGGGATGATGGAGGAGGGATGGAGTGCTCTATGCTCTACATAGGGCCAAGAGCGCTGCTGGATAACCGGTAACTTATGTACAATGGTGTGCTACACAGTTATTGGCTGAACATGTGAGTAGTTATTATAAATGTTTGTAACACATTCCTTGAGCACCGCTGGCCCTACTCCAATATGTCTGCCATCTCCAGCTTTGTGACTTATCAGAAGATCTGAATGGGGAGCATATTCTATGGCATGAGCATAGGCTCCTACACACAAGGGAGAACCCTGAAGGTATGGAAGGTCCCAATTATATAGGTTCACTGATAGCTAAACATGCATACAGTGCCCCTTCCCAGTACTCAGTTTAATGCATTAATAACAGAGGGGAACTTGGAGGTATATGAATATTGGGGAGTGGGGGGTCAGTGGGCTAGGCAGCCGGTTTTCTGAATAAGTGGCAAAAGAGAGGCAATGGGGAAACAAGAAGGAGAGCAGAATACAGGGAAAGATAGTTACGTGCAGGGAAAGCTTGGCTACTCTTTTGATTGTGGATTAACCATATGATGGGCATAGCCTGCTCCACATAATGAGATTCAGAAGCTAGGGTTCAAGGATGCAATGCTTGATGGACCTGGATGGTGGAGAGGGTATATATCCATGCCACAGTCATTATATTCATATTTGTCTTTAGCCCTTTTCACCACAAGTTGGAAAAACCTTGTGCTTCTCCTTCCTCCACATGGCCACTGCCTCTGTGCACCACTGGCAATTGCATACAGGGGATGATCTGAGACTGCAAAAAGTAGGGTCTCTGATTATGTGGAGAGAGTGTGTGTGCACAAACTCACACACACATCATGTATCAATTGAAACAAACTTATGCAAAAAGTGAATTGTAGGCACAGAGGCTCTAATCCAGATTGGGACCGCACTGGAAGCAAAGCTTTAATATCCCCATACAAGGGTACAGATGTAGATTAGGTCCTCTGTACTTACTTTTGAATAAAAAAGACAAAAATGGGATGGATAGTTAGGAGCAGGGATAGCTAGCAGAACCCCTCTTCCCTTCCTTTGCTCATTACAATATTTAAGAACCTGTAAGAACAATTTTTTTAAACACAGCAGAAGATAATTTTCTGCCATGAATAACTCTGGATCCAGCCCAAGAAATTGCTTCTTAGGTTCAATCCTATTGTAATGCCTGTAAGCCTCTACAACCCAATCTTTGCCTCCATGTCCTTCTAGTTTGCATTTTTACTAGACTGTTTTTTCTTTGCTGCCTGAGAGGGTTGAGGGTAGGGGGAAGAAGTTCTGATTCCTAGGTCTGGGCTTGGAGTTCTTTCTCTGACCTTGGATCTGGGAATCTGAAGTATCCTATGACCCTTTAGATGGAGTCCAGGAACCACAGGATTGCTCCTCCAGCTCATTTTTTTCTCCAGTGTAGAAATGGAGAGCTTTCCTTTCTCATCAGTTTCTTCAGTGCTTATATTTTAAATATTGAACAATTTCTTAGGCTAGGGATGGGGATCCTGCAGCCATCCAGATGATGTTGGATTAGTATTCCCATCACCCCAGGCTATTGGCCACACCTGCCACTGATTGAACTGAAGTGGATTGCAGGGAAAAAAAAAAAAAAAATGAGGCACACATTTCCTATTGTGGTTGTTGTTAATTATACTGCCCAATTATTTCTGTACTGCCCAATAGCTGAAGTTATCTGGGTAGTGTATAATCCATATTTTATAAGATTTTTAAACATAGTCCACATACTATGACCTATTAACTGGGGTAACTTTGTGAAAAGGAGACAGAAAAGTGAAAGATGGAAATGTAAGCGAAAGTTTACTACCTAACTTATACTACCTGAGATGGAGAATGCTGAAATACTAGTCTGTCTTGTCTGCTTGATTCTACAAGGAGGAAAAGATAGTCATTTAGCCTTTCCTTTTCCTTTCTTTTCTGTGATATAAGAGGGATTGGCAAAACTTTCTCTCTCTCCTTGAATAAGAATATGTCAAATAAATACAATACATCTGAAGTTCTTGTGAAATGTTTAGGGAAGATGGCACTGGGGCATTTCTACTTGGTAGGAGCAGGAGTAAAGTTAGCTTCTGTGATCTAGGCCCAACCTTCATCTTTTTTATTCCCCTGACCCCAGCAGCCTAATCGATAAAATCATAAGTGTTGGACTAGGGTTGGATAATGGAGAGGTGGACTCAAATGTTAATCAGATAGCCTTTGGCAGCTACACTCTTAGCCCTACTTCACAGGATTGTTTGGATGTAAAATTGGAGGCAGGAACATGTAAACCACTTGAACTCCGTGGACAAGGTGGGATAATAATGTAATAAAGCTTTTTCTGGCCATTTCATTATTATCTTGGAAACCCATACTTTTTATTGCAGTGCTACCAGATGAGAGAGAATTTCAGCATGCTGCTAAAACTAATAATCTGGATACTATGGAGAGACTGTTTAGGAACAATGTTAATATTAATGCTGTAAATATTGTAAGTATAAAACATTTTCTGTAGAGAGAATTCCCAAATCAATAAATTCTTATTTCTTCAATCCTGTTTCACTGTATTTAGCAAGAGTAGTGGTTGCTTTGCAAGCCTTAGACGATGTTGTTGCAAGGCAATAGTCAATGGGCAGGACAAGAAGCCAAGAATGGTTTGTACTATTGCTTGTACCCACCATGCCTTGAATAAGCCACAATGGGTTGTTGCAGATACCAGCTGTTATCAGCCTTTTAATTTTTGTATTAGTAAAGCAAAATAATTTATTTAATACTATTGATAATATGTAGTTCATACTATGTTGTATCAAATGGTATTGTTCTTAGAGGCAAGAGAAAACTCCCATCAGTTGTAGACAGCATAGCCAGTGGTGAGAGAGCATGGAAGTTGTAGGCATTGCAGTAGGATTGCAGCCTGAGTTTGTTGTGCTTACTTATATAGTTAATGTCATTCACTTGTATTTGTGGGAGTATCATCCTATTTTTTTAAATGACAGACCAAAATAAATGATCAGTAGTGGGGTGGGGGGGGGGAATTTGAGGTTATACTGAAACTAAAGAGAGCTGTTTTTTCTTTCTGTACGGCGAGAAGATTTAAAACTTTATGACGATATTCTCTGCTTTTATAATTGTTTTTCCCCTTATTTAGCTGAAACGCACAGCGCTCCATTTTGCTGTTGCAGGAAATCATGTATCTGCAGTGGACTTTCTTCTTCATCACAAAGCTAGAGTTGATATTGCAGATAAGGTACTCAAAATGATTCTTTAATATTAGTTTACACTTGCTGACACACATGAATCTTGTCTGGAAACAATGGCACTGATTAGATAGCCCACCCTGCAGACAGTATTTTAAAATACCAGGAGTGCCTTCACTAGCACCAATTGATTTCTTCCCCTCTCTTTTTAGCCCTTCCCTACCTTGTATACTCACAGCTAATTACTTGAAGATAGAAAAGAGAGGTCAGTCTACACTCTGCCTATTTAACAAAGAGTTTAGTTTAGTATTTAATACGCCCTACAGTTCAGATGGTCAGCAGAAAGAGCTGTCTTGTCCAGGATCTTGTGCCCCCTTTTACCAATAGCTGTAAAGGTTTGCTGAAGAATTACGATACAAAGATGTAAGGACATCTAATATTTTGCATTTTATTCCCAGTTTCTTCAGTTATATAGCCTTCCAAAGACCATGCTCCTCAGCTAATTAGTATGTTGCATAAGCTGTTTCAGAGTATATTGAGGAGAGGTAACTGGATATTTTATTTATGTATTTAAAACATTTTTATCCCATCCTTTCCAGAAGGCTCAGGATGGCTTACAATCATAAATAATACTATAAAATACAATAACATGATGATTAAAATACTAAACAAACAAACATAAACCAAACATTTCATAAAACTAAGAAAAGAAGGAAAAGAAGAAAAAGGAAGTGTGACTGTGGACAGATCTTTAAAACATCTAAAATCCTTATTTACTTATTAAAATGTTGGCTAACCAAAAAGGTCTTAACCTGGCGCCAGAAGGAGTATAAGGTTGGCGCCAGGTGGATATGCAGGGGAACTATCATATTGGTGCCAATATAGTTGTTTATTGATGTTTTGTAGCTAAGAATGTTGTCATGAAATGAGTTTAAATGGCATTTTGTGTATTAAAATATGCTTTGCACTGACTGATGCAACCACTTTGTCTCAAAGTTGTTTGCCTATTGAAATACTGCTGTTTAGCTCATATGGCCCAAGACTGCTTCAATATGACATTTTGATGTGCAAACATCCTGCCTTATTCAAATTTACAAGATAATTGAGATAATATCATCTTTAATGTGTAGCTCTCTTATGTTTTCCCTCTGCTTCTTCTGTCTTGCATTTTATCAGAAAAAAAATCATTAAGAAGGAAAAGATGGCATAGTTGTACAATGCCTTTTGGTTGGTAGCACTAGGAGCTCTCTGTCTGGAAGCACCCTAAGACACTCCAATTACTAATCTAAACATGAAATGATTGTAAGATTAATGGTCACAACTTGGGATATTGGGCTTTTTCAAAAGGTTCATTAACAGGGTGGCTCTCAATGACTATGGGTGCAACTGAATATCAAGAAAATAAAAAGCATGTCCTCCAAAGAATTACAGAGATTCATTGTTAATAATGAAGAAATCAAAACTGGGAAAGATTTCACATACCTCATCTCAGTCATCAATTCAAAGGGAGACTGTAGGCAAGAAATTCCAAGAAGACTGAAACTCGGAAGGGCAGCAATAAAGGAACTAGAAAAGATCAAGTGAAGAATATTTCTCAGGAGACCAAGGCCAAGATAATCCAAATGACTATATTCCCAATTACAATGTATGGGTGAGAAAGCTGGATAGTGAAAAAAGCTGACAGGAAGAAAATTGTGTTTGAAACATGGTGCTGGAGGAGAGCTTTGTGATTACCCTGAATGGACAGAAAGACAGATAAGTCTTTCTGTCCTTCCAGGGTCCTAGATTAAATCAAACCAGGGCTTTCCGTAGAAGCAAAAAAAATGACAAAACTAAGGCTGTTGTACTTCAGACACAATCATGTTAGGGAAAAGAAAGGCAGAAGACGAGGGAAGACCAAATATGAGATGGATTGAATCCATAAAGAAAGCCACAACCTTGAACTTGGAAGATTTGAATAGAGCTGTCATGGACAGGAAATTTGGGAGGGGCTTTCATTCAGAGGATCACCATGTGTTAAAGATGACTTGAGAGCATAAAGATGGCAACTTAATTTTTGTAAATAAATAATAAAAAGTCATGTTGAAATGAATGAGCTAATCCCTGTTAATTTGGTTCATGAATGGTACAGTCCTGTTACCCCTGCATTCATGTAAACCTCTAAACTTGGAGATTTACATGCATCCTGTGTACTGCATGAGACACAGCAGCACCACTACCACATTTCCTGCCCAGTATTTTATCTAGACAGCCATTTTCAGGGAAGGGGTGCTGATTGGCATCGAGTCATGGCCCTAGTTTCCTTGCCTCCCTGCCCTCTGCCATACCCCTTGTTCCCCTGCTCAAGCCCAGTTGCAGCCAGCAGGGTATAACTGGTGCGGTTATTTCTCTGTGGTCTTTGGTGGCCCAGCTCTGAGACCTCAAGACCTTGGAGCTAGAACTCCAAATGATCCCATGGCCCAATAGCAAATGTCAGAAAGCCATAGAATTGCACCCTAATTCTTTTGTTTCTTGAAGTAAAATAGAAAAGAATACTTTAAAATTTCACTGCGACCTATTGTAATTTCTTATGCCTTTTATGTATTTTTTATTTTTAGCATGGTCTTTCTGCAATTCATCTTGCTGCATGGTCTGGAAATTTGGATATAATGCTAATGTTGATTAAAGCAGGTGCTGATCAAAAAGCAAAGAACAAGGTTTGTTACTGATAATTACAAGCTATCATTAACTACTTGTATAAAAGAAGAAATTATAAATTTATTTTACAGAACTGTTTTGTTTTTTCCTTAGGAAGGATTGAATGTCCTGCATTTTGCAGCTCAGAACAATAATGTTAGAATAGTGGATTATTTTATCCAAGACCTAAACCTGCTGGAACTTAATAAGCCAGATGAGGTATCATATCTATATAATATACTGTCAGTTATCTGCCAATGCATGTTAATAATGTTTTGTTTCTGAATATTTTTCTTTTCCAATCACTCGGCATAATTATGAAAATAGCCACACTTATATTTCCTCTGCATTTCTGAATATTGTGGTGATTTATTTTTGCTCCAATGATCTCTTCTTAATTTCTCTTGGCAAGCAAAGTGATGTATTTGTATTACATTGGAAAGAAGCATTTACCATATGAGATTTCCACAGGGGCTCGGACAAACATCAGCCTTTTTAAAGCAACATCTCTCAGACTTAGGTATGCAAGGGGGCAATCCTGTTGATTCCACCCTTGATGCTGATAAGCCTCCAAACTGAGAGGCTTATGATCTTCTAATTCAGAGTAGGAGAAATAGTGGGGACAATCTCTCCCTCCCTGTTTCTTCCACTCTGCATTTGAGTTAGACAGCTGATTTTGGCCAGGGGTGCTTTGGAGAGGGAGGAAAGTTTGGCATGACATCAGGATAGATCATTTCATAGGAGCCCCAGTCTCCCCTATCCCCAGCCCACTGCCTTCTGTCTTCCAATTCCTTTACTCTCTTTTGAGTCAGGTTTGATTTTTCAACCTTGGAGAGGCAGCCAATGCAAATTTTAACTTGTCAGCTGCAAGTGGGGAGCTCTGCGTCCAGCCTTAGAGGTAGATACCTGAATTATCCAGTAGCACCTAAGATGATACTTAGGGCCGTAGGATCCTCCTCCCCCATCACAGAAACATAAATAAGCTTTTAAAACTTTGGAGCTTATTGAGGTAAGGGACTGAAGACTAGTGGTGGGACATACGCCTTCCACATAGAAGGTTTCAGGTTGGTAAGTCCTCCACATTACCATTAAAAAGAATTTTGGGCAATGGAAATGGAAGGACCCATTATTCTCTGTATAAGACAGTTTCTTAAGATGCTTGCTCACATGAAAAAGTCTTGCATCACTTCCAGAAGATGCTTAGGGTCCATTTGATCTCAGGAAACTAGCCAAACAGCTCTAATAATATATAATTTTACTCTTCAGGTACCATTTAATGAAATCAGTAAGGCTTATTTAATAAGTATAATATGTTAAGGATTTCAGCCAACTTGTGTAATTTGGTATCTTTTACTCAACAACTTTTGGTAGCAAAAGAACATGTTCTTGCACACTGTTGATCTCTTGCAAACTTTCACTGATGGAAATTCTATAAAAGTTATGCACTGCCTACTGTTGGGATATATTGTTATTAAATTGTCTTTTTTTGTCTTGTTTAATCTGGATGGTTTCTAAAAATAATTTCCTCAGGAGAGTTAATTAAACTGTCTATTGAATATTAAGCTTTGTAGGCTAACATAGCTACAAAAATGTATCTTCTCTTCTGTCTTTATAATGTTACCTTTTCCTTAACTCTTTATACAGATACCCTACATCAATTTCAAGTTTCTGGATCTCATATTTACAATTTTGCCTATAACTGCAGCTCTTCCCTCCTCTCTATTTCATCCCTTCTTGCTTTCTACTATCAATTTTCAGCTTTCATCTTCCCTTCCCATCTGTGTGCCCTCTGCCATGTTATCTACATGCCACATTATCTCACTCAGATTCAGGATTGGAAGTCTCAGGACTGCGGGTTAGATTTGGCCCACTTGGGATCCCAATCCAGCCTGTTTGGGATCTGTGGGTGGCCATGCCCTATCTCCTGGTCCCACTCCCTTTCTCCAGACTACCAACTGTTTGGTAGTTTCTGAAATTTTATGCTGTTTTTCCCATTCTGAGTGGTTGAAATGCTGCTTCTAAGGCTTAGTTATGTTGTTTGACTTTGGTGCCACCTTTCACTGGAATCTTTCCTGCCCCCACAAGAACTCTTCTAAAACTACTTGGGCTGAAATAGTTTCAACACCTTGGATCCAGCTGTATATCATTAATAAGAAAAGCCATAAGATTATCTGTGGGAGAGAGCATACTGTTGGTGGGTGGCCAAAAGCTAGCAGTATGCCAACCCAGAGCTCCACAGGCTTGGGATCCCCCTTTCCACCTCTCATTCTTCCACTCACTGCTTTCCCTTCCTCCACATCCAGCAGGTTGTCAGGTTAAGGCAGAACATTCCTGCCTGAATCTGAACCTGTCCCTTCTTTTGAAATTAAGCTGAGCACCGCATACAGCCCTAGGGCCACAGTTGGTTATACACCCCTGGTTTAAGGACACTCTAATGTTAGAGCCATCCTGAGGCTATATAGCAAGGGGACGGCATATAAAAACTTTAAATAAATAAAGTTTAGCATAAGTTCTACAAGAGATTCCCCCACCCCCTTTGCATACTGACCTCTTTATTGTTTACTGTCTCTTAGAAAGGGAGAAAGCCATTCCTTCTGGCAGCTGAAATGGGACATGTAGAAATGATAAATGAGTTGATTTCCCTTAAATTATTCACCACAGAAAAAGACAAAGTAAGTCTCTTCCAAGAATTTCAAGAAAGCGTATTATGTATTTGTTTATTTATCATATTTATGTCCTGCCTTTTTCCTGCAAGGAACTCAAGTTGGCTTACAAAATCCTCCCACTTCTCATTTTATCGTGGTGCCAACCCTGTGAGGGAAGTTAGGCTGAAAGGAAGTGACTGACCTAAATTACCAATTAGTTTCATGGCCGAGTGGGGACTAGAACCTGGATCTCTCAAGACCCAGTCCAGCACTCTAACTTCTATGTTACATTGGCTCTTAACCAGCTTCATGTGTTTTATAAAGTGGTATCTTCAGCTAAAAGCTGTACATTAACTTATGCTGAACACTGTAAAGACAATAAAAACAGAATGACAGTGTTTAATTTCACTTCATGTGTGTATTTGTATGCCATATTAATTTATTTATTTGGGATATTTCTAGACCTTCCAATCACTCTGTGTCTCACAACAGAATCAATAAATAAAACAGTATAAATATAAACATTGGGAGTTTAGTAAACCATTTGATTCAGAATATTTTTTTCTTGTTTCCCTCCTCTAAAAACTAGGTGCGTCTTATGGTCAGATGCGTCTTATAGAGCAAAAAATACAGTATCCTACTTAGTATTGCTGCATCATTTTGATAAACAATTGGTCATTTTAGGTTAAAAAAAAAGTCACTACTCTGTGAAAGTCATGATAATATTGATGCCGAGGGCAATCCTAATTCCCTTGGACGGCCATTGAAAAGGGGTCTGGATGGGATCAAGAGTATCTTTGCTGGCAGAATGAACATCTATCCCAGAGTTTCCAGTTATGCCAGTGGAAAGTTCACAGATATAAATCTACCACTGGTAGTACTTGTGGCCAGAGACAAATCCTGAAATGGGATATTCTAGGGATGGGCTAGGGGTAGCTTTGGATCCAAAGCCCTTTCTTTCAGCAATGAGGCTGGCACAGGTAATTTCTCTCCTGTTGATTTCGGTGGAAAGGAAAGGAAAGCAAAAGGAGAACGAGTGAGAAGAAATCCAGAAGGCAATCAGCCACCACCACTTGCCAGCTTGACCACTTGTGGACCCCAAGGCTCTGGGTGCCAGGCTGTGTCTCCAACATCTCCTCTATCTCTTAGGACAAGATTGCTTTGTCCACAGGATTAGTTAATATGCAGGGCAATACTGGTGAAAACATTAGTTTTCTGGGTTCCCCCCGCCAAGTATACTAGGGAATTTGATTCCTGCTTCAAGGTTTTTCTAATCTCTGTTTCTCTCTACTCCATTGGAATGGCCTGTAGAATTGCAGAGCAAGGTGCATGTAGGAAAAAAACAAGACTATGTATGAATTACTCAATTTTTCTGTGCAACCCTTGGAATTAGAAATATGCCTTTTAAAGATAAACAGAAGTTCCTACTACTATTGTTGTGGACAATAACAATCTGTTCTCTGCTTAGGAACATTTAAGTATGGCAGAAAAAATAATAAAATATATAAATTAACAAAACAAAGAATTTTTTTTTAAATTGACAGAGTTAAAAATGGCATTGTAATTTGTTCTAATATTTTTTGATCTTGCTAATGTGAATATGCATTATATTTCTCGGTGTGTGTGTTTTTGCAGGAAGGAAACAGTGCATTGCATCTGGCTGCTAAAAATGGCCACAGTGAGGTAGTGGAAGTTCTTCTGGATCAGTGGGAAGAAATAAATGAGTTAAATCAGGTAAACATATAACAAATATGCTAAATCAGGGGTCCTCAAATGTTTTCACCAGGGGGCCAGTTGAAAGCTGCCAGTGCTGGGCGTGGGCTGGAAAGGTGGTGCCGGCGGTGTGTGCGGGCTGGCGTGGGGGTGGGACGGGTGGGGGCGGCATGTGCAGGTGCACGTGCAGAGGAGGGGGCGGGGCACATGGCGAGGCAAGGGGAGGGGTGGCGCAGGTGGGTGCACGAGGCAGCAGCTTGCTCGCTTGGTGATTGTTTTCTCCGAGCAAGCAAACCGCTGCCTCCCTGTGTACAGGGCAAGGTGGGTGGCATGGGCGTAGTTTGGGGACCCATGTGTCTGACTTCCCTGTCATGGTCAGATCACTTCCTCTTGAGGTTTGAGCTTGATGTTGGCCTTTCCCTCTGTAAGGGTGCAAACCCTATTGTGTTGGTCCGCCCTTGGAGCCGGATGAATCCAGATGGATTCCTGAAGGCTCTGGGAAAGTTTCCGGTTGATAAGGCTGGCGCTCCTGTCGAAGCTCTGGTTGAACTATGGAATGGAGAAATGGCCAGAGCTATTGACACGATCGCTCTTAAGCAGAGCCCGTTCATCCCCTTGGTATACACCTGAATTACGGGCGATGAAGCGGGTTGGGAGACATCTAGAGCATAGGTGGAGGAAATCACGGGATGAATCTGACCGAACACACTTACGAGCTCACTATTGAGCCTATGCTGTGGTGGTGGGGGTGGCGAAGAAGAAATTCTTCTCCACTTCCATTGCCTCCTCACAGTGCTGTCCAGTGGAGCTCTTTTGAGTGGTACAGGGGCTGGTACATCCAGATCCTAAGAAAGATCCCATACCACCCATGATTGCCTGCTGTGACGACTTTGCCAAGCATTTTAAGGAGAAAATTGCTCAGATACGTCATGAGCTGGACTCCACTAGTGATTCAGATCCCTTAGGGGAGGTGCCAATGTCTCCGTCTGGTCAGATATTATTGGATGAGTTTCAGTTATTGTGGCCTGATGATGTGGACAATGTGCTTGGACAAGTTCGTCCCAGCACTTGCTTACTCGACCCTTGCCTGTCGTGGCTACCAAACAAAGCCAAACACAAGATTGGTGCCTGGATCCTGGAGGTCATTAACACCTCTCTGAGGGACGGCCAGGTGCCTGCCCCTCTAAAGGAGGTGGTAGTCAGGCTGGTCCTAAAGAAGGAGTCCCTGGATCCAGAGATGGCCGCCAATTATAGACCGGTGGTCAACCTCCCGTTTCTGGGCAAGGTGTTGGAACGGGTGGTGGTGGGACAACTCCAAGCACTCTTGGATGGAACTGATTATCTGGACCCATTTCAGTCCAGCTTCAGACCCGGGTATGCTAACGAATCTGCCTTGGTCGCCCTGTATGATGACCTGTGCAGGGAGAGAGACAGGGGGAGTGCGTCCCTGTTGGTCCTCCTGGACCTCTCAGCGGCTTTCAATACCATCGACCATGGTATCCTTCTGGATAGGCTAGCAGGACTGGGAGTAGGAGGCACTGCTTTGCAGTGGTTCCGCTCCTACCTCAATGGCCAATTCCAGAAGGTGGTGCTGGGGGACTATGGCTCTGCGCCATTTTGTCCCCCTTGCTATTCAACATCTACATGAAACCGCTGGGAGAGGTCATCAGGAGGTGTGCGCTGCGGAATCATCAGTATGCTGATGATACCCAGCTCTACCTTTCTTTTTCAACCAATCCAGGTGAGGCAGTGGCTGTACTGAACTGGTGCCTGGCTGAGGTAATGGGCTGGATGAGGGCCAATAAACTGAAGCTCAATCCAGACAAGATGGAGGTCCTGTTGGTGGGTGGTTCGGGCTCCGGAGTAGGTGACTTGGACCTTGTCCTGAATGGGGTTGCATTCCCTCTAAAGGACAGGGTCCACAGCTTGGGAGTGCTCCTCGACCCAGAGCTGTCTTTGGAAGCTCAGGTGACTGCGGTGGTGAGGAGCGCTTTCCTTCAGCTTCGGCTAATCCATCAGCTGTGTCCCTACCTCGAGGACGATTGCTTAGCGACAGTGACACACGCATTGGTTACTTCCTGATTGGACTTCTATAACGCGCTCTATGTGGGGCTGCCCTTGAAGACAGTCCGGATACTTCAGATGGTGCAAAATAGAGCTGCCAGGTTGCTGACGGGGACTGGATGTTATTCTCACATAACCCCAGTCCTCTACCAGCTTCACTGGCTCCCCATCAAAGTCTGGGCCCAATTCAAGGTGTTGGTGATGACCTATAAAGCCCTTAACGGCTTGGGTCCTGGTTACCTGAAGGAGCGCTTACATCCATATACGCCCGCTTGCCCCTTGAGATCTGCGGGAGAGGCCCTTCTCCGGGAACCCTCCGTGAAAGAAATTAGGAGGGTAGGTACTCGGAGGAGGGCTTTCTCTGTGGTGGCGCCCCACCTGTGGAATGTGCTCCCCAGAGAGATCTGCCTGGCGCCGTCGTTATTTGTTTTTTGTTTTTAAGACCTTTTTATTTAAACAATATTTTAATAACTTCTAATATTATCAGTTGGTTTTAATTGTACAGCCAGGGTGAATCTAGATTCTATGTATACTATTTTTATGTTTATTTATTGTATGGAAGCTGTCCCGAGGCTTATGCGAATGGGACGGCATACAAAAACTCCAAATAAAATGAATGAATGAATGAAATAATACTGATATATTTATTTTAAAAAATCATATACTATCCTTCATTAAGAATCCCAAGATGGTTTATTTAATTTTTAAACAATATCATCATAATACCAAAATTAAAAATTCTTTAGTGCCAGTACTTGATAAAAAAATTAAAACACCAATTAACAATTAAAGAACTGGTAAATAAAATGGTTTTGAATAAAGTGCTGGCACCAGGCACACCTCTCTGGGGAACAAGTTTTATAATCGGAGCGATATAGCAGAAAATGCCCTCCTTGGACTAACCCTGCTTACCTCTTTCAGGGAGGGCACTCAGAGGAGGATCTCTGCAGATGATCTTAAGGTTCAAGCAGGCTCATATGGAAAGAGATGTTCGCTTAGATAACCAGATCCTAAACTATTTAGGCTTTATATGTCATCATTAGCACCTTAAATCAGACCCGGATTTCACCTGGTAGCCAATGTAGCTAATAGAGGACCAGCTTAAAGTGTTCCCTTCTGGCAGTCCCAGTCAGCAATCTGGTAGCTCTATTTTGAACCAATTGCAATACCTGACTATCTTCAAGGGCAGCCCCACATAAAGTGTGTTACAATAGTCCAAACGGGAGGTTACGAGTGTGTATGTTGCTGTTGCTAGGGTTTGCTGTGCCAGGTAAGTATGCAGTCAATGGACCAGCCTTAGCTTCCCTTTTGGATAGCGGCCTGGAAGAAGGGAGGAAGTTTGCAATATTTTCCATCTGCTATGGAAAGTTGATCCAGCAGGCATGAGCTAGCACAGATTATTCCTGCTACTGCAGACATTCATCTAACATGCTAGACATATAGTGACTTGCCCTAAACATTGCTCCAGGCATTAGACTGGCTGTAGCATGGTTGATCAAAATGCTGGGATGATTTGATGTTATTTCCCCCCCTAGGTTTAGGAGTCACTTACATATTTGTACACCCAGGACAAAGATAAAGTGATCTGATGGCTGTAAAAATCTGTGTTTCCCATTCATTTATTTGGTACATGGGGTTCCCAGGAGGTCTCCCATGCAAGGACTGACCAGGCCCAGGCCCATTTAGCAGTAGTGAGGTGGTTGTACATATGCTCTCAGAACATCCAAGCAAGATTCTTTCTTTGCCCTACCTGGCATTGCTGTATCCTGCCACTGAGCTGTGGTCCATCAGCTTCCGTGTGCTACAGAACAAAGACTAGCATCCACGTTGGTCCTGCGGGTTCCTTTGAGTGATGCCTTTAAAAAATTCTGACAGGTTCCCAAACCTTTGGCAAGAACAGCAGCAAAGGTCCTAAGCCACCTTCGGTTCCTTGTATCTTCTTCCTTCTCTTCCTCATCCCTATAAAGTAGGTTAGACTGAGAGTGTGAGACTGTTCATGTGAGCTTCATGGCTTTACTTGATAGATTTTTGCTTTTTAGCCAATTAAAAAACAAAAAAGAGCATTGCCAGTGGAGAAAAGGGTGGCAGCCAGCCTTGCAAAGAAGCTTGGTGTAGCAACTCCACCAAAATACAAGCCTGCAAATTTTCCTATTATGTTGTAGGTTCACATGACACTTAACTTAAGCCTGACAGGAAAAAAAATACCGTCTTTTCCTGGATACCAAAAGAAAAACAAATGAAAGTTTCCATCCTTGTTTTCTGAAGGAATTCTGACTTGCTGCAGGCAAGTAACAAAGGGATCATCTACACTTCTGCTGCCGACTGTATTTTATTGTCAGCTAATTGTTTTCTTTGTGTGTTTGGTTTTAGAATGGCGAAACACCATTTTATCTGGCTGTTGAAGGAGGCCATCAAAAATGTGCAGATCTCTTACTGGAAGCAGGAAGTGATATCAATATTTCAAACAAAGTATGTTATTACCATTGGAGTTCTTTGTAATCATTTTATGGAAATAATATTTTTGAACTGCTTCAGATTTATTGCCATGTAAAGTGCCCAACCACAGGACTTACAAACAATGTTATGTAGTGGCTCACTGAATAAAACCAGTGTGGTGATCAGATGACTTAGGAGACCCAAGTTCAAATACTGCTCAGCCATTAAATTCATAGTGTGTGGTCTTGGGCCAGTGACTGACCAGTATTCATGTGTCATGCCAAGCCACCCTGACAATAAGCCATGGCATATAAGTTGTTCGTGGAACAACCCATGGTGTGCCCGACAGATAATCACTTACAGTATCATGTCCCATACACACACCCTTCCTTCTTGGTCCTTCAGACTGCATCCCAGTGTCCATGGCGAAACCTGTCTTGTGTCCTGCGTCTCCTACCTTCCCCCAATGGTTGCCCTTTTTGTTTGCCCTTTTTGCAAAATGTTCAGCCTCAGAGATGTGCAATCCAGTCATATATGGTCATATATGTATGCATCTATGTTCCCAGAAAATTGTGCAGTTGTCTTCCAAATTGTTTGCTTGTTGGTCAGCTGGTCTTTCACAGCTGCAAAGTGCTCATTTACACCTTTGTAGCAACATGTAGCCTTTCCTGGTCAATGCCCTTGTTTCTTTCAACTGTCAAAGGAAGCAACAACATGCTGTTGTTTTCAGATTGAGAAGGAGAGATTGAATATAGACTAATTCATGTACAGTTGCTAAGCTGTCAACTGAAAATCACCAGTAAAGGGATAAAAGCAGGAGAAGTAGGTACACCAAAAGTGGGGCAGAGCCAAAATGTCTGCCTTGGCAGTGTAATCCTCTCCATCTCAAGAACTGAACTGACAGTTCTTACAATCTTCCACATCTTCAACTGTTCTCTGGGTTTCCAAGTACCAAAGAAATGGAAGATACTATCCCTCCTTTTCAGAACATTTACTGCTACAGTTACTGCAGTTCCCTAACAGTTCTGGAGAAAAGCCCTGAGAAGGTAGCTGAATTGCCTGGAATGAACATTGGGGTGTGTAAGTCCCACTAATGCTGGTACCCATTTACTAGCATGCCATCCTGTTCTGCCACCTGAAAGGTTTTTTTTCTTTAAACGACAGGAAAAGTTTTACTTTTTAAAAAAGTGTGAATTATATACACATGTCATGACTGGGAAGTAAACAGAAAAATGTATGCAAATTGAAAAATGTATGTAAATTTCATGGCTGGGAAAGAAATTGCGCAGATTTCATAGCTACGTAGGAAAAAATGGAAAGGAAATTGGCATTATAATCCCCCCAACTGCCTTCCCAGCCAAGAAATCTGCTCAAATCTTCCAGACTATTAAAAAAATCCCCTTTGAAGTGGCACAGCAGGACAGAGCAAATGGGATTTCAACAACAGTGTTCCCCCATTCACTCCAGCTCCAGATCTGCGTTTATTCCCTTGAGTGGTCCCATGCAGGGCTCATCATGTCAAATCTGGCCAGACTGGCTTGTTGCTGTGGATGACAAGCCATCCAGAGCTGTCAAAGGTAATTGGGCAAATACTCCCAGCACACATGATATGAGAGAAAGAAGTCACTGTGACTTCTGTCCCTTCCCTGATTGTGCAAATTGAGTTGTGCTACCAAAGTGGGATCTGGAGAAGTGGCTATCTGGGTATGTTCTAAGGCATGATGCATTAGGATGAATGCTTTTAGCAACCTACATAAGAGATATTCCAAGCTGCCAAGACTTTAAAAGAGAAAGAAACAGACAAGTGTTGAACATTACACCTTCAGGTAAGCAAAGTGTGGCAAAGATAAATGCATGCCAGATAAAGTCAATTATATTGCTCATGTTAAGGGCATTACTTGATTTTTTTAGTAGGGTGTTGTCTAGCTCAAGTATGTGGAAAGGCATACTGCTTCCTTGTACTTTATTAGATCTATTTGTCCTTTTCTCTCCCCTTTTTTGCCATGGTCATATTCCTCTTTTATTATTGCTTTTTATAAATGAGGAAGACTGCTGATCATTTGCCTCTCATTCTGTGAAAACTGAAGAAACCCATGACTGATTTGGCAGAAGCAAAAAGGAAACTCCTTTCCCTAGTAAAGTTTTAAAAGCATGTAATTTGGTATATTTAATTACTTGCTAATGGGTTCTTTTAGCTAAAACATTTTCAATCTAATTGAAATCAATGGCGTAGAACAGTTGTGAGGAGAGCTACAATGACTGTCATTTTGGAAACTGACTTTTCATAAGAAACTGTATAATCCCATGTATATTTGTTCAGAAATAACTTTGTTCAATGAAGTTAATTCCCAGGTAAGAAAACATAACATTGCAGCCATAGAGTTATGTTCTAACTCGGGAGGATACCTAATGCTACTTATCGTTCTGATTCATTTGATTCATTAAGAAACATAAAACTAATTTCCTTCTCTCCATTGTCTCTTTTGCAGCACAGTTCCAATGCATTGCATATTGCAACCCAGAATGGGCATGCACCTTTGGTCACATTTCTTATCACTAAAAACATAGATCTGCATACTCAATGTCAGGTGTGTTTTATCTCTTTCCTCGCAGATGTTATAGCCTTCATTTTTTTCATGCAGCTCCAGTATTTCCCCACAAGATTATCTGGAAGCAGTGGTAGCTAGAGCCATGCATAATTCAGGATACAAAATGAGGAGAACCACAATGTGTATAAATGAGAATATTAGACTAAACTAAAGTATTTTAAACTTAGGTGATTTCAGTGGGAATGTTAAGCAGATTCTTTCATCAAAATTAATGAAAGTAAAAAGTATTTAACTCTAGCAGGATAGTTCTTATGCGCTTAAAAATTTTAAGAGGTAGAATATATGCAGCTCAAGCCTGTTTAGGCCTGCTTAGAAGTAAGGACCATAAGAGTTCAATGGGGTATTACTCCCAGGGAAGTGTGGGAGTGTTCTGCCAGGGTGCAGAACAACTTTCATCTCAAGCACCCAATTCATTTCAGAGAAGCTTACAGAGAGCTGCATTCAGGTGGTGAATGGAGCTGAAGGCAAATACCAAAGGGGTGCAGTTAACATACCTGTCTACTGCAGCTTAAAGAATTTACTGCTAGTGACTAAGCCTTATCAGAGGCATTTCATCCATTTAGAATGAGTGAAAATGTACACAAAACCCAGAAAACCAGCAAAGTTAGTAGTTGGGGAAAATTGGGTGGAGCCAAGGGAATGGGCTTCTGGAGTATTCCAGCAGTCAGATTGGGCCCTCTGAAGGGCTGAATTTAGACTCCAGGCTTGACATTTTGCACCCATTTTGCGTAAGATTGCAGCCCCTATTTACTAAAGAAAGACTCATAGTGGTATATGATGCCCTGGAACAAAGCTAGGTTATCCTCTTATTATAGAAAGAGCTGTATGTTCTCATTACAGGCAATTGTATAGACAAAATTAACACATCTACTATTAATGCAGGAGAAGTATTTTAATATGCTAGCTCAAATGGAATTGAGACTATATATGAAGTAATCTCTTATAACCATCATAATTATAAATACTTATTTGTTATGGGTATCATCTCCATAACATTTTGTGTGGTATTAAAGGTTTTCCTTGCATTTCAAATCTTCACCAACCCCGTTGTACAGTTTTCCACCAGCTGTTTATCACAGATAAGTTTCATCCTGGTTTCTTGTGTTAAGGTGATATTTAAATCTGCTTCCAAAATTGTCATACTGTAAACAGCACTGGCATGAAAATATTTTTATTGATCTGACAAAGAGCTCCAAGCTAAAAAATTGAAAATGTTTAGTGAAAAGGCAAAAATAGACTACCTAAATATTTTGGGTACTTTTTCCAAGTTTTAAGCTTCATCAGCATGCACAAATTTGATTAATAAGTCAGTACTGATTAGATCAGGATGCATTGCATTGCATTGCAGTAGATAGGTCAATATTGATTAGGTTTCTATCCTGTCCTTATTCACATTTGCATCTTGCTCTTCCTTGCTTATTCCATTTTATTAACACAAAACTGTGTGATGTTGATTAGTCTGAGACTAGCCAAGAGTTACATGATGATTATCATGACTGGTGTGGGGATTTGTAACCTAATCTGCTGCATCTAAGGATGACATTCTGCCTATTGCACTACACCACTCCATACATTCTTGTATTGCAAGGATGAGATTTGGCAAAGTGCCCTTCTACAGTACATGTGTGCCTCTGAAGGCTTACTTTGGTTAGCACTTGGTTGTAGGCCAAAGGTCTGGGTCATAGGCAACTTCTGCTGTTCTTCATATATTCACACTTCCATACTTCTGCCTCAGCTCAGTGTCAGAGTACATACTTTGCATGCAGAAGGTTCTTGTTTCAGTCCCCAGCTTCTTCAGGAAGGGCTAAGAAAGAATCCTGCCTGAAACTCTGAAGAGCTGCAGCAAGTCACTGTTGAGAACACAAGGCTAGATTGGCCAAGGGTATAACTTATTATAGGGTAGCTTCCTGCGTTCTACCCTGGAGATCCCAGTTAGCTTTGCAGAAAGCAATAAAGACGTACATCTATCACCAACAGTGTTTCTGCTTGTGGTAGACCTGGGCACAGGATGTTCCAGGTAGCCCAGATCTCTGGCCTTGAATGAGAGGCATCCTTGGATCCACTGGTCCAGATACCCTTTGCTCACTTGAAAAGCACCAGCATCACAACTATGACCACTTGGAGCTAATGCAGTTAATAACCACTCACAGAAACCTGTGTGGAACAATTTTTTAAAATGAAGAACTGCCTGAATGAAGAAGGAAAAAACTTGTTCCCAGCTCCTGCCTTGGGCAGGACAAGCAAGCAGGCCTTACCAGGTAAGGTTTTGGAAGTGGCAGATTGTCTGCTACTTAGCTCCCCACTTCCATCCCAGTTAGGATTGTTTTGCCCCATGTAGACTTTGGCCTTCTTTTTGACATTGTTATGCTTATCACTTTGTTCCAATTCACTGCTGTGAATTGTTCATAGCACTGAGCCATGTTGAAGATGGTTGAATTCTAGGTTTTTGTGATATGAAGTGGGGCTGTACTCATAACCCATCATTTGTTAACCATTAAACCTAGACAACCCATGGTTTGTTATTGGATTGTAAACTCTTGGTTCTTTAAGCCATAGTTTGTTGTCACATGTGAACCCCTAACCATGGGTTGATCTTGAGTTATTTCAGTAAGCTACCATATCAGCAGGCCAGAGCAATAAAAATTCAAAAAGAGAAACACCAACTGCTCTATATTTTAGTACTATAGTGCTGCAAAAAGCATTTAGGATACAGAAAGTGAATGGGGAAAGGAAAAGGAAAATAAACCATGGTTTGTTTAATCATCTGCTGGATAGACCCAGGGTAAGTCAACAAACCATGGGTTAAGTAAACCGTGGGTTAGTCTTATATAAAAACCAAGCCATTGTGAAATGGGTTGTCCCATCTGATTGCTGGTATGCTTGGCAATCTTCTGGGAGAAATAATTTAGCTTTCTTCTGCCCATAGGAAGGTTGACTTTTCCTGAACTAACAAAGTATGATTAATCAAGATTATTTGTGAACAAATAGTACTTGGTATGATGATTTTATGCAGTATTGTAACAATCTTTTCCTTTGATTACAGCAAAACAATTCTCCTCTCCATTTGGCCGTCTTAAAAAACAATGTACCTGTGGTCAGTAGTTTAATAGATGCTAACCATGATCTAAACTTGCTCAATCAGGTGAGAAATTTAGAAATGTATTGTTTTAACATGGAAGATTCTGAGGTTTTTCTCCCCTGAAAAATTATCAGTTGTGTGACGTATATCAAGCTAGCCTTCTCAATAGAATTACGTTGTCTGTTGTGATTCATTGGATAGTTTACGAGTAGCTCAGGCTGTCTTTCTTAATTTATGCCACAAGGATAAAAAGGGCCTAATGAACTCTGCCTTTAAAAAACATTTAAAAGGCCTTTAAAAACATTTGCATGCAATATGTATGCAGTCTTTATCTCATCTCTCTGTGGAAGGGTTTGGTGTGCTTAACCACTAGGCCCTTTTGCGGCACTTATAGCTCTTGCCTGAAGGTGTTCTTATTGTAAAGTGGCTGGACTGGTTCCCTTCCTGCCTTGGGTTTCCACTATACAAGCACACCTTCTTCTCTTTCCACATAAACTGAGAAAAAGCTAAAATGTGTTCTGTTGGTTTACTGTTACTAATTTCTCCTGTTTTCTTTTGAATCTTCATACCCATAAGTCGGGTATAATAAGTACAATTTTAAAACAACTCCATACTTATTCATCTAAAAAACTCAGAGCTTATTTATCCCAGGTCTATTTCTAAACCTCAAAGTGGGCATGCATCAAGATGCACTCTGGATCATGGTCAAATGTAGAGCAGCGTAGAGTTTGCTGTTGCCCTTTGTCATGGGCATGATTCTACTTGTCCTGTTTTGTGAGTTGAACCAGGCTGGAACTTTCTCAGTTTATTGGCCAGTAGCTGCTACCACTTCATTCTTTAAAACATCTAGGTTTGAGGAAGCAAAAAACTCCATGACTTGCTATTTCTAAGGGATCACTCTTAACAAAGGAATGCATTTTTTCCCTATTTGCCCTCCCACCCCCCTGAGGTCGGCAACAGAAGCCCTCCTCCAGGAACCCTCTGTGAAAGATGTTAGGAGACAGAGTACCCGGATGAGGGCCTTCTCTGCGGTGGTGCCCCGTCTATGGAATGCGCTCCCCAGAGAAGTCCGCCTGGCGCCGTCATTATGTTTTTCAGCGTCAGGTTAAGACCTTTTTATTTAATCAATATTTTAATAAGTTTTAATATTGAATTGTATCATTATTATTAATTGTAGCCAGAGTGGGTCATCAATTTATTTATGCTGTTAGCCATCCATAGATGTTAGTAATTGGACGGCATACAAATTTTATAAATAAATAAACAAGCATTCTGATCTGGTCCATTTTGTGAGTTTATTTCCTGTTATTCTAGACTTGTAGTATGAACCAATTAAGACTAGACCTACTGAAATTAATGGGACACATTAGTCAGGACTAATTTAAATCCCATTGATTTTAATGGAACTGCTCTAAGTATGATTAAATCTGGATCCATACCCATAATTATCACCATTCTGTTATATATGTGATTTGAATATTGACATTTTTTGCCATGCCTTTGTTAATTGAAATTTTTTTTTGTGATTTTCATCTTCTACTTTGCTCTGCTTCTACAAGAGCCATCAAACACCTCTACATCTTGCAGCAGATCTTGGAAATGTGGAAGTCATGGAGCTGCTGCTTAAGGCAGGTTGTGACCTCACCATTGTGGATAAGGTATTTTCTATTTTTCAGATTTCTGTGCAGTTGCAATTCAAATATTTTCAAATATTATTCATTAAAATATCACTCTTGCTTTAGCCTATCCTTCTTCAATCTGGCAACCTCTAGATGTATTGGATTGCATCTCCCATCTTCCTCAGCCAACATAATCACCATCTGGAGGGCACCAGGTTAGGAGAGACCATTTTAGTCTCTTTCTGAAAACCTGTAGCAATCTGGTATTAACTTAGTACAAAGCTATCAGTGAAACTGACCATAACATACTGCACTTGTTCTTTCTGTTTGTAGGCTGAACATAATAAAATGCATAGTATAAAGTAGTCATTGTTCTCTGAAGAAGGTTTTCCCATTCTAATTCATCTGATGCTATCTAACAGCCATTTTGAAGTCTCTCATCCAAACTGTGTTTGTTGATGCACTTTAATTTCTCCTTAATATCAGAAAATGTGTTGCCAAAACAGAAGAAATTATTATTAGTTTATTAATACTAATTGTATTTGTATACCATCCAGTAGCTGAAGCTTTCTGCCTGGTTTACAACAGCACAAAAAAAATATGTTAAGTATACAATGTAAAGATGCAAACAACAGTAAAGCATCATAAAATGTTTCTACAAAATGTTAAAACTAGATTTAAAACCAAATTTGATGATTCCGAAAACTAGCACAAAACACAAATTAAGATATAAGAACTGTTAAACAGTAGGCATAATACCTAATATAGTACAGTGGTACCTTGGCTCACGA